ATCTCCGAGCCGAGCCGGAGATGACGGCATGTTCTGGGCCCTGTCAGTGGAAAATCCGGCAACTCCATGGACTGCAATTGATTGCGGTTGTTCAACTTGCCAAAGGTTGGATACAGCCCAGCTCAGCAGACCCCGTAGGCCGACGTTGGCAAGCACTTGCGTATCGAAGTCAAACAAATAGATACAGTATCGGATTCCGCTTAACACAATGTGCGAACATTGAGATGATATTGGCCTGCGGGTGGGATAACAAGAAAGCCTCAGCGGAGAGCACTATTTCACCTTGTGCAGCTGCCAAAAATTCGGCACTTGTAGTTGGAGGTTATTGTGTCACTCGTGGAACGGGACGTCGTCAACGACTGGCAGGATCGTTTTGGTTTGTCATGTCTCAGCAACGACTAGTAACGAAGGTCTGCGACCGCGGGTGCTGAAGGGCAAGCACGGATCCGGGGTATTTTTCTTAAATGGCTCGACCACTCTAAACCTCCAGTGCACCTGGTCACGCTTTAAAACTAGGGCCTCGAACGCTCCGACCCTACCGCTTTTGTCTTGGAATCTCTTGGAAAGAAATAAAACACGTGGAGGGTTGTCAGTGTCATGATCTCCGATCAACGGACCTGCGGTCCGGGGTGGTTCCCATCTACCAAACCAAACAGTGTTCAAATAGATTCGGTCATTGCCACATCCAACGACAATGCCAACAGTCCTCATCGTCGGTGCCACCGCGGTCTTGGCGACGCGCTCGCGTCTGCGTACTCCGATGCAGGACACACTGTCTATGCCACGTCGCGTTCCGACACCCCACCAACCACTGGAGCTTCGGATGTGACATGGATCCCCTCAATCGACATCGCCTCTGAATCTGCCGGCGAAGCGCTTGCCGCAGCGATTCCCGTGCACGACGTGATCGATATCCTCGTGGTGACTGCGGGGTACTTCGTTAGCGAGACCTTCGACGAACCCAAATGGAGCGAGGAAGTCAAGATGTATACGACGTGCGCGATCGGGCCGCTCTTCGTTGTGCAGGGACTCGTCGCCGCAGGCAAGATCCGAACCGCGATTGGCTCTGCAGACAAAGGAGGGAAGGTCGTCCTGGTCAGCTCCGAGTCGGGATCGATTGCACTGCGACACGAGAAGGAGGGCGGTGGGAATTACGCGCACCACGCCAGCAAATCTGCCTTGAACATGGTGGGAAAACTCCTCAGTCTCGACTTGAAGGATCGGGGGATCTCCGTTGCGCTTGTTCACGTGCGTCACTTCTGCATGCACACGCATTTATTGCTTAATTTCTGCACTTATTGTCCCACAGCCTGGGTTCATGCGCACCGAATTAACACGCAACGTGGGATATGATCAGTACTGGGAGTCTGGCGGTGCTGTATCGCCACAAGAGGCAGCATCCTCACTGATCTCCTTCATCGACACATTCACTATCGAGCAAACAGGCGAGTATTGGGCTCCCGGGGTGCAAGGTCTGTCATTCCACTTATCACAAGTGGAGAGAACTCACCATGATGAAGGGATATTGGGACGGCACCCGATGTACTTGGCCCCGATGTCGCTGCCAATGAGCCACTGCAGCTGCCGTGGTGATAGCACGGATTTGTCTTCCGCCTGCATACATATCCATTTCCCAGTGTGTACAAGTATCTTTTTCACTTATTTGAAATGCAATCCTATATCTATCAACTTCAAGCATATCTCAACTCATTCGGAACCAAGGAATATGAACGTGGATCGTGATTACAATTACCTAGGAACATTCGAACTGCTCAAACACGTGACTCGATTAGTTCAGAACAATATACCAGCCAACGGTGGCGAAGCATGTCATACCCTAGCCAATGTCCCTCTATGACGGCGATTTGAATATCCCATTCGAAATCTCGTGCAGGCAGGGTGCATCTCCATCCTGCCGAGCCCATAGCGACTCAGTAGATCTTCCGAGATCGAGTTGAACAGGGTCAGACTCTTGACTTTTCCGCTCAGAAATTAGAGTGATACAGTGCCTCGAGAGTTGTGTCAGATTGGACAAAGTTTTTCCTTTCTTCAACCAACGACGGAAAAGTGAGAGATCATTATATTTTGAGCCAATTTGGGCCATTTCGAAAGTGATCGACGTTTTCGGATCACGCACCAATCACGCGACTTGCTCCATTTTTTTTACCCGTTTAACTTTCTCCTTGTCCTGAAGAAAAGAACAGGAATTTCCCCGCCCGTATCAAAGCTAAACAGCTTCCAAGAGCGGAGAAATTAGAGTTAAACAATCCAAGGTGGCGGAGGATTCCTGCACTAGATGTCCGTGAGCCTATCCTGCCCCGTTGCTATCAACAAGAGCACATACACAATATGTATGTTGCCTCGAGGAGTCCCGTTCTTCTATGTGACCCTATTTCAATCGACTTGTGACCCCGCCTGCCGAAATTGAAATTGACGGCGGGGGTGTCTTTCATATTTGCATTCGTCCTTTGCTCCCACCCGCTCGAGATTCTCCGCGTCCACACATACATTCGGCCCTGACAGATCTGCCCGTGCACCAGCCGTGTCTATCTCGGGCCCTTTAAATGTGCGTCCCCTTTCTTTTTATCTGTACTTCGCAGCCAGTCTCACACCCCCAAGCCACCGGATGTCTCGATCTTCTCAAGATGGCACTTTTGCACGGACTCCTCCAACTGGACCACGGAATAAGAAGGAAACATGGACCAGACACCCTGCGGAACTTGACTTCCTTTGTCCGACAAGCATAGAGGACACGGAGATCATCGACTATCTTCGCGACCACGTCTTCAGCGTTCCACCTCGTGCACACTCGACGTCCCCATCCGCTTACGATGAGAGAGGAGAGAGTAGCGCGTTCTTTGGTGTCGTGTGTCAAATCAACGGCCAGCGCGTGGAGGTCCAACTACCCGTCCAGTACCGTACCCCTGTCTTATGGGTCGTCGAGTTTCTCTGGACAATGATTCGGTCGAGTCTGACCGCAGAATCGCCTGAGGCGACGTGGCCCGCCGTCAGGTATGAGATTTGGCATGTTGCACGGCTGTGCCAGAGTCTCTTGGAGCAAGCCCATCGTGCGAGGGATCTGACGAGTCGTTGGCGCTCTTTGTCTTTCGACCGAGCACTGCGGCGCTACTCGCTCGGCTACTTTCGTTCAGCTAACGAGGACATGAAACAGTTTGAGCGCGTTTTTAGCGAACAAGACTACCACAAAGACGATATCTTGGCTTTTGGTATGTCACTTTCTTGGGGGAAAGGGCTTGGGCAACTGAGAGATTCTTATAGATTGGACCTCCAGGGAATTCGAGAAGCGCAGCAATATCAGGCTGTCCGCTGATCAGCTGTCAGGTGGAGTTTCAGCCGAGGAACTGCAGGCAAGGCTGCAAATCGATCCAGGACCCAGGGCATTCCGCTGGGCAAGTCCAGGGAACTCATATCCTGCAATGAAGGGCAGTCCTTCCTCTACCCCCAAGATTGTGAGCCCATCGCATCTAGCTCCCGACGGCCGTCACTGACCACACGATAAAGACTGCTCGCCCCCTCGCTACCACCCAAACGACGATTCCGTTGACAATCGGCGCGTCAAGTCGCGTCGCGGCTCCAGATACGAGGATGCATCTGCATCGCCAGCCGTTTCTAATCGGACGCCACCGGCAAATCTGGGTCTGAGCCCACTTGCGCCGCCAGTTCCAGCTGAGATGGTGGCCCAACCCGTCATGGATCTGTCTCATCATTCTTTTATGCCTCCGCCGATCCAAAGACCGGTGACTACGAGACTGTGCTCTGCTTCTAATGGAGAGCGGACGACCGACCCCCGCAAGCGTTTATCTGGCTGCATTTCACTGCCACCAACGGCCCCGTCAAGTCCTGTCGCCTCCACATCTCGGCTTGCGGTCCATTCTGGTGCGGCCCCGCCGATCCCGCCCGAATGTCCGCCCCATTCCGCATTTGTGTGTGCGCCGGAGCGGGCAGGCTTTGCTGTCCCTCGGACCCCAACACCTTCTCGCGGGGACTTTTGGATTGAGCTCATGGGTCCCCTGAGAGCATCCGCCTCTGAAATGATCAAGGCTGAGGATATGGATGACGATCGGATGGCTGTCGATCCGCAGCCCGTGCTCGGCCACATCGACCAACCACTCATCACCCCGCGACAGACACCGGACCGCGTCCATGCTGGGTCGTTCTACCCGTCTCCCTCTCCGGACCATCCGCGCCATCCGCAACGCTCGATGCAGCGAGAGCCGGAATTCGATCTCCAGCTCACCCCAACCACGCCATTTATGGGTACCGACATGGCCGCCTTCGTAAACATCCTCGAATCCATGGGGAAGGAGATGGCGGCGTTGCAATCTCGGGTGGCTTTCTTGGAGCTGCAGGTAGCGGAACAACCTGCTTCCCCAACCCTTAAGAGTTTCCATCAGTTGCGGCATCTGCTCGACAAGATGGAGGAAGACTGAGTCGCAGATCTGTCTATCTGCCCCTCCGTTGTGTGCTGTATATATCTCCATCTATCTTCTACAATACTTACATACTGGTCTGTCCACCGGCTCGAGTTCGAAGCCTTCTTGGCTATTTTAAATCCTTCTTGGCGCATGAGCGCTTGAGCTTTCATCAGTTTCGAATTGTATTATGGTTTGCTGCGGTCAACTGCGGTCTGCCAAATGATTATCAGCAGGCAAGTATGGCTGGACCCAACTTATTCCTCTTAAACTTGTGTAATTTGCACACTCAGCCTCTCCTCACACACGACTTGCCCACTACTAGATTTCCTGACATGAGTGACTCCACCCCTCTCCTTGCTGATGTGGAAGGTGTCGATTCGCAAGGATCCAGTCTCAAGACCGCCGATGCGACCTCCCAGACCGGCAAACCCGCGTTTAAGTTCGATGCCAGGACGGTCCTGATACTGGGTGAGACCTTTCAGTGTCGTTTCAAGGTGGAATTAACATCCTGTGGTATCAGCGTCTCTCGTCGTGGTCGAAGTCATCTGGACGTTGTTCATCGTAATGATGGCCGCTGCAAGCTGCCCCAGTGAGTCATAATCTCGTCGCAAGAATCTCCATCGAGACTTTCGATAGATATCCTTATGATATTGAGCGTCATTCTCTCGGTGCCTACCGCTCTGTTCTTGGGTCTGCTGTGAGCCACTATCACGAGTGCTGCCCATTGTAGTCGTCTGACCGTCTACCAGTTTATACGCTGGACGCCGGCATCCTATCGCGACACAACTCAATCAGGGTCCATTCTCTTTATCTTTGAGACGGAACATCGACCAAATTTACGTCCTGGTCTTTTTCGGGTCGTTCTGGCTGGGTACGATCCACCCACATCTTGGCACTACAGCTCATTGACTCCGCTTCCAAGTCCTGGCGATTGTCATGTCAATATTCTGGGTTCCGTTTAGCGTTCCGCTCTTTGCCATCGTAGCTCTGTGTAAGTGCTCTGTTGTGGACTTCCCGCCTGTGATGATTCATGTGATCTCTCAGTGTACGGCGCTGCCTTCGCAACTTACAAACGGGCTATCAAGCTGCACGGACGTGATGTTGAGGTTGTGAAGATTGTTCATGTCACAGTCTCCAAGTGGAAGATCGCAGATGTGGGCGGCTACGAGGAGGGCATGATCCAGATTTGAGCGCACGTGATCGCGTTTCCGACGTGACGGACTCGGATAGGTGACCAACAACCTCATCCAGTCTCCAGTGTCTCTCGCTCTTCCTATAAATCTGTTGTACAAGCAATTTATGCTTTACCGCTTCAAATTCCCTCAGAAATCTTCTGTAATCGACCCCACTCGAGCAGCACCGCGGCGAAATAGCAGTCGTTCTGCCTATCGGTCAGCACCCGCTGCGCAAAGAGCATTCCGTTCGCCTGAATCTGGCGTGCTTCTTTATCATGTGCCCGTGCCCACTCGACCTTCTCCACCAGATCCGACAAGTCAATCTTCACGGGGATGTAGTGCTCATAGGGACGCAGCCAGTCGCTGAAGTATTCAGTGAATGCGGTCGCCTGGGGGTCCGGTCAGCCCATTGCCGCCCTATGTGTAGAGGTTATGCAAGCTCGCCTTGAAAACGAGCGACCCGGATCTCAGAAGACCCAGATACCTTCCGGAAAACGTGTTTCCATCGACATCGAGGGCGAACTTGTACTGATACACTTCTTCGCGAGGACTGAAACCGCCTGGGACGAGATACTCGGCGATGATGGGCCCCGCATCGCAGTCGTACTCGGGCTTGCAGTGCTCTGCGTACCACCCCGTCATGCGAGCGTTGATGATATCCGGTCGGGAGGCAGCGATCTTGACGAGCCGGAAGCGGGAAAATTTGTGATAGTTGTCGTTCAAGATGGTCCCTCCGTTCGACGAACCCCGCCAGTCTGGGTCGAGCTTGTGAGTCTCCGTGTCTCCTAGATTCATTTGTCAACTCACATAATTGGGCCTTCTTGTCTTCCCAGGAGATATCGTTCGGGCGGCTGAACTTTCCTGACCACTGCGACGAGTCGTAGTAGTATTGGCCCGGGAACATGATGTCCGCGAAGCAGCTCGAGGTGGTCTTGGTCATGCTGAGGAGCGGATACAAGTCGGTCGTGAAGTCGGAGCTGGAGCTGAAGTTGATGACTGCATTGGGGACAGGTCAGTCAGCCCCTTGTGCAACGTCCTGATTCACTCACACGCAACATCCTCTAGTGCGTCGATTGAGGTCCCCTTCTCGGTCAAGATCGTCCGACACTCGGCACGTTCTTTGAAGAAATCAGAAGTGGGTGCCGGTCGGATGCGGAATGGTTGGGTGTCCGCGATGGCTAGCGCCGTTTTGCGGTTTCTGGGATCTTGGGTGTTGAAGACAACGCGGGGCTCGTCGCGGCCATTAATGAGGAACTCCATATCTGGCAGGACGTCGAGGAACTGGGCCAAGTCTTCAGTGACCATAGGCAGATGAATTGGGACGAACAAACCTTAGTCAATGTGGCCCTCCATTCGTCATCCCACACCGAGCCTCGATACGTCGGCATCTCGATCGTGCCATTCTCGATCTTGATAGTCACCATCCCCTTTGGGTCCAGCAGCATCTGATGGATACACTCTTAGCCCGAAACATCTCCAGCCAATCTGCACTTGCTCACTAGGCGCCGTCCCAATTCGACCATTCTCTTGAACTGCACCGGGTCTTCTTTTGCCAACTGGTAGAAGGGCTCGAAATCGCGATGAATCTGGTGGTACTCGTCGACAAGACACTTGTGTTCTTGTGCATAGGCGAACCACTTGTCGAAATTCGGCGGTGGAAGGCGACCATTCCGGAGGCTATACTGGGTCTCTGCCTCCTCGATTGTCTGAGATTGTCGCTGAAACAACTCGTCGATGCGCGTGGCGGCGATGGATTCCGGACTGGCTTCGACTGGTGTGGCTGGACTTGCCCTGTCGAGTGCTGCCACCGAATCCTTGCTGTAATCGAGCTCTATCAGCCACATCGGTTCTGGGCTCCCGACAAATCCCATGTCTTCTGGGAAGCCTGGCTCCGAAGGATAGACATGATAGACGACGACGACCACTACGACGCCCGCCAATATCGTGCAGACGCGGCCCCAGAATGTCATCCTGCTCGTTCGCATCGGCAATAGTGTGACCGGAAGGAGATTGCTCGAGGCCTGGCTGTTGGAGCGTTCTCTGCCGCTGAGATATATCATCGCGAGAAAGCAAACCGGGTGTGCGTGTCTCAGCTATCCGGTCGTGCTTATGAAGGAGAGGGCATGTGGTGTGTCTCATTCAAGTCTCATACTAGCCGCTTAGATTTCTAGTGCGCGCGCTGAGCTGCCAGATGTCGTCCGTCTAGGGCATGAACAGACCCCAACGTTACTTGTATTCCATTTACAGCGAGAAGCGTCGATATACCCCCATGGAACTGAGAATGCCTGAGATCTCTGCCCTCTCTGCCCTTATTGTCAGCTGCAGCCATTCTACGAAGCGTGGGCAAACACGTAGCTCGCCGGCACGTACTGGGACCTTGAGCTGTATGGGATCCGAGTTGAGCTCACCGAGAGTATGTGTTTAACTCGATCGGTCGGAAGAGGAGGGGAACTTGTTACTGCGCCATCTTGGCTTCCAGTGCTCTAGTCCCTCCGCGTGCTGAATGGGACTGGGACTCCCGCTCTCATCATGCGCTCAAAATCGACCTTGGAGAACCTCCAAATTTTTGCGCCCGAGTGCGACGAAGACGATAAATCCTTACAAAACTTGCCGCCCAGCACGATGGTGAGCTTGAAACACTGATTATGATTCTATACGGAATGCAGCCGGACTACCAAATGATCCCAAAGATCGTCTTTACTTTATGCAAACCAGCTTGAATATCTTGTGAAGCCTGGACATCCAAGTATCCATAGCCGCTGCCCATCGTCACGTGGACGAGCGCGCAATCCGGATCCCATGCGATGGGGTTTGTCTCTCTTTGACCCACGATTGCGAATGAGATGACCTAGAACAAAGCAAGGAGTATGTAAATATAAGCTAGTCCGATTCCCAAACCTCGCAGGTTCGACTCGTAACAGGTAAACAAGATGAGCGCGAGGGGCAGCAATGCAAAGGCTAGCAGAATCGGCGATGCACCGAGAGACACCAGGTAGGTTGTGTTCGTCGGATTAAACAACATCGCGCGCACATCACATCTGTAATCGGAGACGTCGAAGGAAGGGAGGACAGTGTATTGGGGGCTGTGCGCGTGGGCACGATAAAAGAACACCAGCGCCGCAATGGAGGCTCCGAACTGCCCCAGCGCCGCAGGGGTCAACACCCAACTTAGCGGCGTATAGAGTCGCGCCGGAATGTCTCGCTCCAAGGTGACGAGGTACCCAATGACAGTGAGCACCGCAACGGGCGAGAGCAAGGCGTGCGACCCAGCCTGGTCGCGGATGAGGACAATGAAGGAGTGCCACCAAAGAATTGTCGTAACGAGTGAATATGAAAGCAGTCCATAGAGCTTGATCGCACTGAATGTGGTTCGCGCGGTTTTTTGCGGTCGGATGAAGATCGGGTCGCTGGATTCACAAGTGAGCGCTCTCGCAGTGATCGGAGGATAGCGATTATACGCAAAAATCGTCTGTCCGCTCGACCGCAGAGAACTCATACTCTTCGAAGTGATCCTGGTCGTTGGGGCTGAACCGCAGCCAAAGACCGGCCGCACCGAGCGCCCACGTCACGATGTTGAAAAAGACATTGACCCATCAGAGCGTAAAGGCGCCGTCCGCAGGCAAACTCGATAGAACTGTGTAGTTCCAGAATCTGTCGCAGAACTCAGCTGCAGAGAGCGAGCCATTTGTGATCAGCTGAGTACCGGCACCGACATCTGGGATCGGGACTGTCGCGTTAGGCGGCGCTTCAGTCGGGCAGGGACCAAAATGCGTGTTCTTGTAGAGCCCAAAGTGGGTTTCATTGAGAGCGAAGGAGGAAGAGGCGGAGAAGATCGACACAATGAGAAGGACAGCAATGCGCGGTGGAATCATCAAGGTAATTGTCACTGGCAAGAGGGCCTGGGAAGATGGTGTAGATGGAACCCATGTACATGAGGGCAGTGTCAGGGCGCCGAGGCATTAGCGTTATCTTTTGAATGCAAGGAAGTCTAGACCTAGACAGTCGCGGTGATTGTCATTTCGAGCATGGTGAACGGTGGTTGGGCGACTAGTCTCGTAAACAGCACTTTCTTCCTCTCAATCGCAGACTTACTACGGAGACATACCCAACTCTGGATCCATGGACGAGGTTCAGTAATGCCCTGCCCTCGAAACGTCTTATTCCTACTTGCTCTAGAATGGTCTGCTGACGCAAGTTACCCACCTCTGGGTCTGTGAGTCCTCTTAACCTGACCCTCCCGGATCCCCTAGTATCGAGCAATATTGTCACCATTCGATCCGACGGAGGAGTAAGAGTGAAAGTAGCAGTTCGATTGCGCTTCGGAAGCGGCCGTGATTGCTTGTTGGCGGCGGTTTGTCTCGTGGCGGTGCCGAGCTCCAGCTTCTTCGCAGCGACTGTCGCCAGACACTTGCGCGCCGACTTCTCCTGGTACAGGATCACATCGCCACACGACACGATTCGAAATAACTGATTCCTGTACAACACACCTCCCAAGGCATCGGGATGGAGGCGCACTGACGCGCAGCCGAAGAACGAGCACGAGAAAGCGTACCCATTGGAACTCCATCCAAATTGATTATTCAGTATTCACCGACTTGCTGAGAAATGGAGTCTACCACCGCGATTGGGCTGAGTCGGTATGTTTTGCGGCGCAGTTTGATCCTCGTCTACATGCCACTCTACCTACCTGCTCCCTCTCATCTCCGACTGCCAAATTTCCTCGCACATCTGTTCTCTCCAACCAGACAGTCACGCTGATACCACTCCAGGGAAGCGCGCAGCATACATGCGGGGCTCAAAGTACTGTTGGGGCGGGACGTCTGGGCGCCGGCGAATTTCAGGGAGGCGGAGTTTCAGCGGAAGAAGTGCGTTCCGCGGCGTATCTGTCTTCCGCGACCCTTCTGATCAACCTCTCCGGCATTCCCCAGTCTGCGGCGCCGATACGTCCACCTACTCCTTCTGCACGGGCAGGAGGATGAGACTCGCGAAGCAGTCGCGCATCTGTGGATGCAGACGTCGTATGCGTTCATCGGGCTATACAAGGCGCGCCTTGCGCGGTACGCCGCGAACGCGAGCAGCAACGGCAAAAACACGAATGCAAACACGAATAACGCGAATGCGAACAATGCGAACACTGCTAACAACGGCAGCAAGAACACAGCGCCGACGGGGCACATTGTGGAGACACGCAAGCTTCAGCAGCGGCTGCGGCAGTTTCTCGCTGAAGAGGAGCGGTTTTATCGGGCGCTGGTGCAGCGGGTGCAGCGTGCGTACGGAGTCCCAGGCGAGCTGTTGCCCGGCGGAGAGGATGAAGCGCCGGAAGGGGACAGGATGAATCATTTTGGATTCCCAGGGGGCGGAGTTGGTGGAGAGGGCGATGAGGAAGAGAAGAGCGACGGAGAGATATCCAGCCCCTTTGTGGCTGTGGGGCAGCGGACGTTGAGCAAATTGTTGATTTGCCTTGGAGATATTGCGCGGTATCGCGAACAGTACCGGCCTGTGACTGTTGCTGCTGCAGGGAAAGGCCGAGGGCATGGTCGCCGGGCGATGGAGCAGAGGATGAACTTTTCGCGCGCAAGAGCGCTGTACTTTGCGGCGCACGGACTGAATCCGGGAGATGGGAATGCAGCGAATCAGTTGGCTATTTTGGCTGGGTGAGTCGGCCGCTGACCTGCTTTACTTGCTGCTCAACTGCGTGCAGTTACGAATCAGATACGCTGGCTGCTGTCGGCTGGTATCTGCGTGCATTGTGTGTGGCCACCCCCTTCGAGACAGCAGCAGAGAATCTGGCGGGTGTGCTGGCCAAAGCATTGCCAAACGCAATTTCTGCGGCGAATAGCATCGGAGGCGATGGCGATGGACCCCCGAAAGTGCGGATCGACCGGTTCCGGCGCGAGGTGGTGTTTCTACATGCGCTGTGGAGCAACGACTGTCCACCGGGAACGGAAGCACTCGCGAACCATTTGACAGCGAGTTTCGGGCGGCTCGTTGCGGCCCGTGCTCTCCCGGAGGAAATGATAGTACGTGTCGGGGTGATGGCGCAGGGTGCGGTGTGGCGGTGTCGCCCCGACGAAGCGACTGCGCAGCTGACACATGTTTTTGCGCTGCATACGGCTCTGTTGAACGTCGGGGCGAAGGAACTGGCCGAAGTTGATCCTCATGTTGCGTCCGGGTCTCTCGCGGAACGGATCAGCGCTGAATTCCGGCGGACTTTGCCTGCGTTGCGGGTGAGCTCGAAGTGGATACTTGCGAATTGGAGCTGGGTGCGCGGTTGTGTGAAAGACCTGGAGATGTTCTGGAGCGCATATGCTCTGTTCATCAGGCTTCTGGGGCGAACGTTTCCGGTGGCGATGCTGCCTGTTGAAGAGGAGATGGAGCTGGAGGAGGACATGGATATGCGTGCGTGGTTGCCGCTGGGTGGATTGATGGGCGTCTTCAACAGCAACAAATACAAGACGCCTCCGGAGCAAGTGCATCCCAATGTGGAGCAACTCATGCGCATCGCAGATTTGCTCAGAGATGGGAAAAAGGTCGTGGAAATGGAGGTGTGTGTCTGTCGTTTACATCGATTCTCCTGCTGACACAAGGTACAGAACTCGCCCCTCGCAGTGTATGGTCGACAGGTTGTCGTGGGTTTAGACGGCCCTACGTCGGCAACCGCGCACGAGGAAGACCTCGCTTCTGAAACCACGGACGACACCAGCACTGCCCTTTTGGATGAGGCATTTTCTTTCTTGCAAGCGGAACCGCAGGACGAGGATGAGGAGGACGAGATCGTCTGGGACATCCGCACCAAGGACGTTCCCGTCGCTGCAAAGCCGATGGCGCCCATTGGAACACCTGCGAGAACCGGGGTTCAGTTGCCAAGTGCGGACCCTCCACCGAGAGTACTTCCTGCGGCACAAACACAAAACCACACGCTCTCCCCATACCGTATCCCAGCGCAAGCGCCTGTTTCTGTTCCCGGCCCCGCTCTTCCAATGCCCAGCCCGATTGCGCCCCCTCAGGACAAAATTGTGAACCCGACGACTGCCGAAGACCTGCTCAAGGGTTTTCTTGCCAGGGGCTCTGGGGCCGGGTCTGTCAGAGCTTCGGCAGCCAGCGGCATTGGGCTCGGATCGAGCGCGTCACCAGCGCCAGCATCGATCTGGGCGGCTTCGAGGGCCGAGCAAGTGTCCCTGTCGCTGGGCAGTCCGATGCCGTACGGATCGCCGCGGTATCCCAGCGCAGCCAGCGCCTATCCCCAGCAGCAGCTGCAGCACCAAAGATTCGGCTCGCAGGGCACAATCTGGGCGGAGCCTCCCCTGGCTCATCAGAGGACTGTCTCCGGGAATCATGCGATGTATGGTACCTTGGGCTCAGGTAGTGGCGTGGGCGTTGCTGGTCAGACATTGTATGCGACGGGCCCTGGTGCTGCATTTGCGATGAGTGCGAATCCGGGGTTGGCTCACACGCGACTACCGTCGACGTCGACCCTCGGCTTCCAGGGTCAGATACCGGTCCATCAGCAGCAGCAGTACCAGGGGTGGGGGAATCTTGGTGGTTAGCTGCTAGTGAGAACGCACGGAGTCAAACCGAGCGCAGCTTGGTCTGCAGGTGTTATAGACTGCAATTGGCTTCAGCACAGGCGACTGCGCAAGCGAACAGAAATGGAACCCATACAGGAACGAGGGTGGCGGGCCCTCGTCAGGTTGAAGCTCGTCCTTCGTGAACTTTGACGTCTATTGTTCCTCAATATGATGCTGTATTCAAACGTGCTTACAGACGAATGAAATGCCTCCAGAGATATTATTTTACTAGTAGCACTTCTCGGTACTAGGTGACATTTTCATGGACCGGATAGGATGGATGCTTGTCTCAGTCGAGCGTGCAGCATGTCCATGTCCCAGACCGTCCTTCAGCTCTACTCACTGATGCCCTGGCCGACACTATGCGAGAACAGTGCGACTTTCTGATTACTCCCCGTACAGTAACTGACCTCCTGAATGTCTGGACTACGATTGTGGGGGACAGAGGCTGTCGTCGACGGTTCATGAGCCTTGGGTCCCGAAAGCAATGTTTCTACACTGCGATGTGCCAGTCTGAGTTCGGATCAGACAATCGATATCCGAGGCAGTGCGACCGTGACTACTCATGCTGACTCTCACCAAGTACTGTCACTACGACCGAAGGATCAAGCTACTTCGCCTGCTGTATTGAGTGGAGTGAGAGTCGATCTACGAGTCTTGGTAGCAATGGACAGTCGTAACTTCACAAGATTTACAGAAACTGCTATTTCGTCGCAAACAACCGCGCCAACGTCTCCTTTAGACTCTCCGGTCTGAAATCGAACTTGTCGTTATCAATCGGAAACGGAACGGTGACTCTTCCTGTTGGGCAGATCGTTTTCCCAGCCCACTTCACTTCTTCCGATTCCTCTCCTCGCTTGCGCGCTGCTTCTTGCTTGGCTGCAGCCTCGCTTGGGTCGATGTACGAAACGGTGTATGAGACGCCCTGGACCTCTTCGAGGGTCTTGATGAGTTCGGCGAACGTGACATGGTCGCCCCGGACGCGGATCTCACGCATGGCGTGATCCTTGGGAAACGGGAGGAAGATCGAGTCCACGGCATACCTCACGATGCTGCAGAGTAGGCTGTGAGTGGCTTCTTGGGGGCTGCATACACGGCACTCACTCCTTCAGAGCTGTGACCGAAACTTGTGCCTCCGGGTACCCATATGCCTCCACAGTGTGTTTCTCCAAATCGAAGCCGCTGAACGAGGAGCACGACCACTCGGTGAAAGCGCCCACGAGCATCAGAGTATATTGGAACCCGGGGACCTTTTTCGCTGTCGCGCGAAGATGATCTCGGGTGACGAGCTTATCCCGGAAGTAACGGAAGGGCCAGACGTGGTCTTGGTCGATGTCCGTGCCGAACTCGGAGGGATAGAAATGGCGCACGCCGCCCTCGACAGCAGCCTCGATGATCGCAGGCTGCAAGCGCATGGTGGCATCCCCCACCAGGGAGAAGACGATGTCAATTCCTGCGTGGCCCCATGAGCAACACTGGGCGATCCGGCCGATGAACACCTGCCTTGATAGCATTTAGGATCGATCAGCGACCCGAGGACGATCTCGACGCCTGCAGCTCGAGCGGCCTCCACTCTATGCGCTTTCGCCGGGCCAGACAGAATCGCAAGACGACCGATCCGATCCCGTTGTTTGATGAACTCCTGTGTCAAGGGTTGCCCGAGGGCACCACTTGCGCCGACGATCAACACAGAAGGCTTGTTGGACATGCTGGATCCTGTTTCTCTGTCCCTCGTTGGACAGCCATTATATAGTATATCTGACATGGAAGCTCGCGGCGTCGGCCTTAATATGGCAGTCATGCCTTTGTCAACCATTGATGTCTCAGGCAAAGGGCCGCCGGAACCCCGCGCTGGTCTCGTATTAGTTCTGGAGACGCCTGTGTGTGGGTTGTTATCAAGGAACAGCCGGTGCGTGCCCTCTCCACGGAGAAATCCCATCAATTGACAATGACGATTCGATTGAGGCAAGCAACGATTACAGATGAGCGCATGCATTATTTGCGGTGAAGCAACTTTAATCCCCCACATGTTCCTCGCTCTCGGGTGGCCCAACGGTGAAGATTCCTGCCTGTCAGGGAATTGCCCTCGTTGGCGCAGGCGACCGGGGTTCGACTCCCCGCTCGAGAGTCCGTAGTGTTCGTCAGTGCTGTGCCTTTTGACTGCGTTTTGAAGACAGTTTTGCGATTCTAACGATAATGTCGTGTTCGATATTGATCAATATCAGTTCATCTCAGCGCTGAGTTTTGGCCTTCTCTAACCTGTACTGTCTGCTAGGAAGTTGGCAGAAAACTGAGTGATTTGGATTCGGACACAATTCTCCAAATGAACCACTTTTCGTTTTGAATGAGATCTCATGTGTTAGAAAATCAGGACACTCAAGGATATCACTGGAAATGTTGAATTTCGCTTGAAAGTGGAGGAGGCCCATATCTCAGAGGGTCACCTGACCGCGTCGACCAGAGTCATGCGCGTGGTCTGATGAGGTCGCGACGTGTCACGTCACTCACCGCTCATCTCCGACTGCATCTCCTTTTCGACAATGCCCGTCCGCACCAGACGCTTTCGACAGAACCACCCCAGCGAAGCACTGAGCCATTCGAGGCTCGAGGCTCTTCCCGTAGAGCTCAAGCTCATCATATGTACGTTCGGTCTTCACTTGTATTCCCTCTCGCTCACACGGCCCACCATACTCTGTCATCTATGGAATAACGCACAGATCATCACCTTCCCAAGTCTGACCTTCTTATCTTGAGTCACGTTTCGAAATCATGGCGCGTGATGGTGTTGGAGGATTCGCGATGGGAGCGGTGGTTTGAGGTGAGTGATCATGGATTCCCTGCTGCAGTCCGGTTTTGACGCCTGTCTTCCTCTGAAGCTGCTCCAAGATCATGACGAGTGGCTGGGAACTGGGAAGGATCTGCGATCATTCGTAAATGATACAATCTCCAAACGGTCCGTGCTGCTTCCGCCAGGGTTTCGGCTGACGCTAATGTTTCGCGTTGCCTTCTCTCACTGCAGCGACATCGTGACCGTGTGCTTTGACTATAGATGCTCTCTCTGCTCTGCACCGACTCCTAACATCCATATACCTCTACTTCAGGTACGCCACGGCATTGAGTTGGGTTACTCCATGCTTCCATTCTCAATCTGCTGCTAGCGTATTTGCCAAGCTTGCCTCATCCCGGAAATGCATTCGCTCGTTCCTCTCTCGCATGCACTCGCTTATCATGATCTGAAGTCTCGCGAAGCTGGTATGCTTCCACTTGTGTGCGACCCTTACCTCGCATCCTATGTATACCCAGTCTGACGTATATTGGGCAGTATTCGAGGGCAGACGACCTTTGTATCGCGAATGAGTGTGCAACGATGGTGCGCCTTCCCCACATCTGTAATCTCTCAGCTCTTTTAACAGATAGACAGCGCTCTGAAGAGACACGGCGGATCGCCTAGTGCGTTCGAAGAGTACTTGGCAGCACGTCATTGTCGTATCCGTGTCGCTTACGAGGCTCGTGCGAGCGACTATGACGGCGCTGTGGACAAGCGAGCCCGATTGCTTGCAGAGGGAAAGGTCGTCGAGGCGTCAGCTGTGAGACTCGAGAATGGGAATCAGATTCCCAAGACCAGACCGGCGGTGCCTGCCGCGTTGCTGATGACCAATGCATCTGAATCGCTTCCTGTGAGCTCAGGTGTCACACGCGCCCAGTATCTGACGGTGGAGCCCGAGGGAAGTTGCATCGCCGGAGATATGGAAATATGTGCCCCTCTTCGACTGCAGGCTCTGCGAATGGTGCAGTGCGAGATCTGTCTCATCATCGAAGGGATCTGCAGTGGAGATGAGGCGAGCGATTCTGTGAAGTATATGCTCTCGACTCGGCTGTCCTTGCACGAGCAGTTTGCGCACTACGCCGTGCGGAGTGATTGGTGCATGGGTGCTCCTACCGGAGGCGGGATGTGCAAATCTTGCGTAAACGCCTACGCGATCGAGGTCAAGGAGCGCACTGATGGGGAGAGGATGGGTCGGTTGAGAGAAGAAAGCCATAGTAGTCACGACGATGTGGAGTGAATCAACGGTGTGTTTAACTTGGTCTGTCAGATTCCTTCGATGGTATGACTGATCTTGATGGAATAGCTTTCTTCTCTTGCACCGTGCAAAATGTTTCGTCCGCTGTCTTTGATAGGATACGCTCTCTCAAGTAATTGCAGCCATGTCGCTGCGTCTCCTACGCTTCCATACACGATCCATTCCATTAGTATTTAGAGGAATTTTCATTATTGAGACAGCAATTCAGAGACCAGTCATTCGACCTCATTCAAGAGTCTCCAAGGAGATCTTTCTGTTCTGGCTTCTCATTGGTCACACGATTCTGGCAACATTTCGAGGAAGATAGGCACTGGATTAGTTTATCATGAAATTTGAGAGACCGACTATTCCCTCAGTCAAGACGGTGTCATGAAATAAGATCAGCGTTGATCTCCCATTTAGATTTAATCCCGTCGGTTACGGACACCTTTCAAGAATTGCGACCCTTGCCCTTCCTCCCGAACTTCAATCCTTCGCACATCGGAGAACTCCGATCAACCATCATAGCAACACCACACAAAGGCATGTCCAAATGTAGCAACTTTTCCAAAATGGCAACTTTTGGATTGGCTCTGGCGGGAGGATTGGTTCCCTGCGCGCACTTTTGAGCAGCCCCCGTTCCGGTCACGATCCTTATTATGTGCTTGCGTTGGCGAACGCTTGTCCAACAACTTCCTCTGTTCTTTCCCCCCACTCACCACATCTAAACTCTCCCCACCGACGCACAAGATGCCTCCCGCATTGCAACCGAGACAAACGCGGCACGCGCGCGAGAATGCTGCCCCGTTCCCTGCGTCATCCTCCGCACAGAAACCATCGACCACCTTCACCAAATCTCATCAGTACTCCTCCTCGTCATTCCACGACCGACTGCGGGCGGGTCTCCGGGATCGGGATCCGGAAAGAGCGAAGCGGGTCAAGGCGGCGAGGGAGAGGAAGGCGACACGGAAGGCAGCAAAGGATGCGGCGGGCAAAGACGGAAAGGGGAAGAAGAAGAACAGAACGAAGCCAGCTGTGTTGGAGTTCGACTTACCTCCAGGGCCTGCTGACGTCGACGCTGAGGACACGGCCGCCTCCAGTAGTAAAATACGGTCGTTCCATCTGCCACGATTCTTGGCCCGGCGTGACATAGCGGAAGATGAACTGGGCGTGAATGCGGAACTGCTGCTCAGCGTTGCACCCGAGTTCGCCAGTGAGGGAACGGAAGGCACGACTCTTGAGCCAGGGCAGTTGGCATATATTCGAGATGTGATGAAGGAACTTGGACCGGGGTTCGTGTTTCTCTCCTTGGCGAAGTAGGCAAGAGGCTGAACCCTATCGCAGGCTTCTCCGGACAGTTGCTAGTGCAAGTGTTGAAGATATGTCCAAAACGACCCTAGTGCCGGACATGGTCCTACGTCTTAACGATCAGGGCTCAGACTACCCGCCACCAACGGTGCTGTTGGCTGTCTATCGGACGCCATCCACATCACCATCGACGACGGCGACGCAAGTCGTTTTACTTCCCGCACATACCAACGTTCTTGCACTGTACTGCTCGCGGATCCCCACACTACCACCGACGCCGCCTGTCCCGGCGCACGTCGTCGACTCTGAGAGCGGAACACTAGATCCATCGCGGGTGCGGGTGCCCGTCCAGCCCCTCCGCCTACCATCGCCGTCGACTTTTCCCCAATTGCTATCATTCCTCTACACCAAACGCGCCGACAACCTGTCCAAAGCTCTCCTGCCGCCTGGACCGATGTCCGCCACTGTCAATGCGGCAAGCAGCACTCGGGCGCAGGCTACGCTGCTCGCACAGACGTATACGTCGCAGGCACTGCTAAAGCATGCCATGGATGTCCACGGGCTGTGGAGCAATGCGACTGTACTCGGGATCGATGACGACCCGCTCTGGGAAGTCATCGAAAATACGTGGGAGATCCTGATGTGGTCTTTGGCACTGAGCGTTGGACGGCCGGGGATCATGGCGGTATCGGAGGATGTCCCACCTGAAGCTAGTGCAGATGGCAAGGTCGGGCAATCGAGTCGAGGGGAGTAGACGTCGAGGGCGGGAGTTATGGTTATCGATATGTTATATAATCCGAGCATTGGCATCGCAATTGTAATTATTATGCATTTTTTTGTTCTCGTAGAACCGTTCCTGCGAGTTCTAGATGTTGCACCGGAGGAATACGTTGGTTTTGTCATGTACATCACACATGTCGCCTCTGACATGCATAGAGCCGGCATGTAGCCGAATCAATGAGATGGAGAGATGCGGAGAATAGGCCATTATAGATCATGGTGCAGGGGCAGAGTTCCAAGTAGATCGAAAATCGACACCATCGGGTCCATAGATACATATGTGACAGATACCTCTGGTGCCAAATTACCGGACTTTGTACATCTGGACGACTGTATCTCCTGGCTGTTCGGCATCCGGAGAACGAACAGCGTAATGGATTTCAACATCCAGCTCGCGGGAGTTTGCGTCGCTTTTCTTGCAGTGGAAATGGCCGGTAACCACAGATCCTGTAGAGATTAGATTAGATTATTATCAATGAGGCACAAGCAAGGGAAGTTGACGTACCCTCCTCTGCAACAATGGGATCACGCAGCAAGAAGAGCGTTTGCTTCCAGTGCGTCGGTACACTCTGTGGCCCGGTGCTGAAACTTGTTATTTTGAGCGGCTTGGGTTCACCATCAGGGCTGAATTGCGAGCTTGCCCGGCGCATTGGAGCAGGGCGACCGCCAACAGGCCACACGTCCGTCACCATGGCCTCACCGGTCTTGACGACCCGGACTTCCTCGTTCTCGGAAATGGGCTGACCGTCTGGCGCGAAGAACGTGTCGAAGTAGAGGATGAACGACGTGATTTTCGTGCGCCGGATGGAGGTGCAGGTGAGAGTGAATGGGGAGACAAAGGACAGATTTCGCGGTGTGATGTTTTGTAGGTAGAGGTCCTATTTCATGCGGTGTGAGCATCGCAATACGACAGATTTTGAGTGCAGAACTGGCCTTGACGCAATACGGGACGCTCAACGTGGTTTCGGGACCAACAACATCGACGATGGCCTCATCCGCAACATGCTCTGCCATCGGGGACAAATCAAAGCCTGTGGTGGGTAGGTGCGAGAACGGTCAGTATCGACAAGGCACAGCCGATGGAGGCATACCATAAACATCGTCCCAATACTTGATCCGCTCCTTAACTATATCACTGCCATCACATAACGCAAACATCATCCGCATCTGGCTTGGAGCCAGCACACCACCGGGCTTCAGGAACCGATCTCTGGCGACCAAAACCGAATCGAGCATGCTCTCATACAGCAGCGCGTAACCCATCCATTCCGACACGATGATATCCACCTTCTGCTCCTCGCCATCATCGAAAGGGAGGACGACATCCTCGATCTTTCCGCGCACCACCTTGATGATATGCTCCATGCCATTCTCGTGAACGATGCGGTCGGCCTTTTCAGCGACGTCGCTGGCATCCACGGCAAAGACACGTTTGGCCCCTGCACGGGCTGCGAAAAGCGAGAGGATGCCGGTCCCACAGCCCACGTCGAGGACCGTGGCGTTGTGGAAAAGCTGAGGGTTGGTGAGGATGAAGGCGGCATAGGACGAGGTCCGTATGTGATCAGTCAGCATTGTGAGGTGGATGTCTGGGGCAAGTGAGGAACGGAAAGGTGAGGAGGATGGACATATACATACCGTTCTCGGCATAGCTCTGGAAGTAATGCGAATCGTCATCCCGCGTCGGTGCCTTTCCAGCAGCAGTAGGTTCATTTACAGCGGCGATCAAGGCTGGCACATCGAGCTGCTTGCTGACGAGCTGGCGATAGTCGATGAGATCTTGCTGTGCGGCGGCCAGCTTCCGTTCGAGCGCTCGAATGCGCTTGACGGGATCTGTGGACGACTCGGCATCCGAGTCAGACCAGTCTTCGGGTTCGATTTCTACGCCTCATTGAGCGAGGTGACTGAGTGGACGAGTCGCAACGCACGCAGAAGAGGGTCATCTTCGATGACAGGCTGGAGATACTCGTCCGAGGTAAACAAGGCTTCCGATCCGGTCAAAGCCAGGACATCGGCAGGGCTGGGCTTCTATGAATACACCCTAGATGAGCTTCACGAGAGAATAAAGGTGCAAGCGAGACGCACCGTTTTCCTCATGTAGTTGATGAAACGAATTCGTTGGTAAGTATCCAGCTCTGCACGGTATCATCATCCCTTGCGCTCAGCTCCAAGACAGGACGTACTGAAACGCGCGCATAGCGCGTCGAGGTCTACACCGTGTGTGACCTTATCGTGCTCTCCAGCAGATTTGGCACTCTCCAGCACCGTCTCGTCGAAAAGGGATTTGCAAGGGCCCGCACCCGACTCGGAGACCCAGTCGTCCCATGTCTCTTCCTCGCCGTCAGAGGAGGACGATGATGAGCAAGAACCAGAGTCGGAGTGGTTTCCAGAAGGAATCGGGGGAAGACGGACGCTCATGGCGAGGTTGAGGTGCAATAAACGAAGGATCGATAAAAATTTGACAAGCGAATCGAGACGATTGCTCGGCTATCAGCGGGCTTTGAGCACTTTTTGTACGCGATCCGGCACGTGCAACATGAGACCTTACCAGAGACCACAGTTCGCAATCTTTCGCAATCTTATCTTATGCGCAGCTTTCAGAAGGGGGGATGTTTGTCCCAGCCAACGCTCGAATAAAGAGAGGGGTATGGATAGGAGCTAGCGGCGAATAAAAGCTTCCGTCTATGCTGCTGGCTTCAGATATTGCACTCCTCTCTCCGCGTTCATGTCTACTGCATCTCACCCCGACGGCCGAGAACTCGCCTCTAGATCCCGCCTCATGGATAGAACGCAGCTTGTATACCGGAGGGAGCTGAGTCCTAATGAACTGTCAGCCCAAGCTAGCACCTCGGACGCGTCCCCTAACTGGTTCCAGGTCCTACTTCCTGCAGAGTCGAGCCACTGGACTCAACGATGTCTTCAGTGGGTTGATGCATGCCTCATCTGCTTGCAGGGAGATGACCACAGACTCGCGTAGCTAGCATCGCTTTCCGTGCACCATCCACATTGATGTCGCCCGTGCGCCTCTCGATCGTCTGGGCTATCATGCGTCAACGGCACTCGCTTCTCGCCTGCTCAGTGGAAATGCCTCGTGGAAACTATGACGATGCCCACTTCGTGTGAGCATGCAAGTTCGTACCGCATATGTCCCCTGAATCACTCACAGGTATATGCCTCCGCCAACGCACGTCACTGCGATCGAACAAGCGTCCCAAACGATATTTCTCCACGATAAAAAGCTAGGGCATGAGCTCATGGACGACTGCCTCAATGGGCCCAGACTTTTGTCCTTGTCGCGTTTGTCCAGACTGGATATCACGCGTCAGTCCGTCGGCAGAGGGGAGCTCTTTGAGTATCACCTCTTCCTCAGCTCGCACCACATGATAGGCGGTGCGATCCCTGTGTTTCAGCTCATCAACGACATGTTTGAGCTGCTGGCCGTGCAGACCGATGCTGAACTGGAGAGTCTCTTACGTCGGGAGTGGATTGATCGATGGGGTCATGTGGCACCGAAGGAAGCAATCATGCCTTCGACAGAGACTCTGCTGTCTGTATCAAAGGCTTCAAGACTCCGTCGCCATGCGCTGAGAGTTGATCATGACAATGTGCAGAGACGATATGTGGTACGAGCTATCCAGCTGTTGCTACACTGCAGCTGAATTTCTCGCTAGGGAGGCCACGTTTTCCCTCGGGCGCCGCAGGCAAAGACGCCACCGAAACCCGCGCAACGGACGCAGACTCGACAGTTGCAGGCTAAATTCAGCCGCGAGCAGACGATCGCCATCCGTGCAGCATGCAAGGCTCACGGGGTGTCCATCGGGAACGCCTTCTTTGCGCTGTGCAACATTGCCTGGCTTCGACTCATGGCCGCTCATCCGGAATACCGACAATGCGCGCCGAAGGAGTTGCCGATGCTGCTCTACTCTGTTGTCAACCTGGAACACATCCTCCCGCCTTGTCAGCAACCGCGCTTGGGCTTAGCACTTGAGTATCTGAGCGTGTGTCTTCCGGGCTTCCTGCATTCTGACCCAATGTGTTTGTTCTGGCACCGCGCTAAAGAAGCACATCGGCAAGTGGGTGCATATGTCAGAAGCCCTCTGCTTCCAGGTCGGGCCCTTGCTACATCCGAAATGCGGGCCGAACGTGCCAAGGGCTGGGCTCGGTTCGACGATGCGATCGCGCAGGGATCGAAAGCTCCTCCCCCACCTGCATCCCCAGCGACGGGGGCCGGCGCGCCTTCACTCGCCCTGATGGGGCTCTCGCAGCAAGGATCGGTCGACGCGCTGTTCCGCACTGAACGGTATCCGGCGATTGAATTGCTGGATCTGGTCGGTGGATCGAGGCGGGGGACGGGCGGTGTCTTGCTCTCCACACGCACTTTCCTGGGAAGATTCGGTATCTGGCTAAACTGGGACGCGGGAACGGTTCCAAATGGCGGTGAGATCGGGTTGATGGACGAGTTCTGGCGGCTGGTGGTCGACGGGGTCCACGAACTTGTCTTGGGCGACGAGAGGCTGCTGGGCACAGCCGAAGAAGTGGATAGTTTGAAGGGAACCCTGACGGGAACACACACTTTCAGGGCCAAGTTGTGATTTCGGCCATGGTCTTCTCGCCTTTTCTTCCTGTTCGTTTTGTTACTCTTCTTCCCTCGTACTTCCCGTGGAGATTGAATTGAGATCGCTATGTGGTAGGTCACGTTACAAGTTGATTGAAATGAGTCACATTCAAATGCGCCTGATAAGCGAGCACATGGAGTGATTTCTTCCTCTTTCTCTTCCTCCCCATATCCCGAGTAGCCCGTCCGACTCTTGCACCCGCTGTAAGTCCAAGACGGCTGCCTACGTGATTGACTCTGATGCATGAAGTCAGATGGCCAATCTTCTCAAGCGAAACACGGCCAAAGTCGACCTGGATTCCATGGTCGATTCGATCATCGACCGTCTCGTTGAAGGTGCTTGGATGTTCAAAATTGAATTTGTGCGGCGAGAGTCTGCGGCCCGTGATGATGATGATGCTGCTGCTGCAACTGTGAGATGCCTCCGGGACAACTCGCCTCGCTGCTCTGCCTTTAGCCTACATACAACCAATATTCATTGTACTTTTGTATCATTTTATAGTCCGGAACCACCGGCCGGGAAGAATGGTCAACCTGACAGAGAAGGAAATCCAATACCTCTGCAAACGGGCTCGGGAAATCTTCATGGAGCAGCCGATGCTGCTCGAGCTCGAGGCTCCGATCAAATTATGCGGTGCGTCCCGCCAAGCCAAACCGCCGGAACCCACCGATCTTGACTTGATTTCACTGACACGATCCCCTGCAAACAGGTGACACACACGGGCAATACTTCGACCTCCTGCGGTTGTTCGAGTACGGCGGGTTCCCTCCTGACGCGAACTACCTCTTCCTCGGCGACTACGTGGATCGAGGCAAACAGTCGATCGAGACGATATGCTTGCTGTTCGCATACAAGATCAAGTACCCAGAAAACTTCTTTCTCCTGCGCGGGAACCATGAAACCGCATCGATCAATCGGATCTACGGTTTTTACGACGAGTGTACGTCGCGTTTCTGTATTTTATTCACAGGTCCAAGTGCCAATTAATATGCATATAATTCTCAGGCAAAAGGAGGTACAACGTCAAAATTTGGCGTTCGTTCATCGACACATTCAACTGTCTTCCGATCGCTGCTATTGTGGACGACAAGATTTTTGCGATGCACGGAGGACTAAGTCCGGATCTGCTGTCTTTGGACCAGATCAAGCGGGTTTTGCGGCCAACGGATGTTCCTGACAGTGGTATGTAAATACAGAAAGCATCCTGAGCTCCTCGGCTCTGTTTCACTGCTGACGGCCGTGCCTCAGGTATTGTTACGGATCTGCTCTGGTCGGATCCCGAACCGGATCTTCGTGGATGGGGCGAAAACGACCGCGGGATCTCGTTCACGTTTGGTGCCGACGTCGTTCTCCAGTTCCTGAAAAAACACAACATGGACTTGATCGTCCGCGGACACCAGGTGTGTATCACGCGACATGCGCCCCTCAGTGCTCGATGTTGAAGTTGTACGCCAGGTGGTTGAAGACGGGTTCGAGTTCTTCGCGAATCAGCATTTAGTGACCATATTCTCCGCTCCGAACTATGGAGGCGAGTTCGATAACGCGGGTGCGATGATCAGCGTGGATGAGTCGCTTCTGTGCACGTTTCAGGTAGGCATTGATATCCTTCGGTCGGGCTTTTGACCACATCTGAGCCGAATTTTTCTCTGCCCAGATCCTGCGCCCGGCGGAGAAGAAAGAGAAGGTGGGTAATAGAAGGTCGAACCCTAGACTGAAGCAGTAGGCAACCTCTAAAATGATATGACACGGGTAGTGGTTAGTTGGCATGGGTTTCTTTCCCGGACTTTTAGACTTGATTGTATTGTTTAGGATACGGCCGTGTTGTTCTTAGCCTTTCCTAAATTATGAATTGCCCGAATTCGCTGTAATGCATATGGTGCATTATCATCGTCAACCTTTGGATCGGGGTCCACAGCCGCCAGCGAAACCTTATGAATGTACGTTTGTGAATCATATACCAACGAAAGGGATCCCCACACGAGATGGTATAATCATTAGGCTAAAATCACTTCTCAGATCCCGTTCCGAGGAACGATGAGCGAGTTTGCATCGACGGCGAAGCCTGATCAGAGGAAGAAGAAGAAGACTAACGAAGCTGTCAGTCGCAGTGGACTGAATAACCATATGGTTGATATCGCTCACATTCTGAAAACCGGCGATGAAAGAACAGGGTCCCGGCCCTGTACCTAATCCCGAAGCCGGATCATCGCTGAGCGCTTTGCGTAGATTGCGCCGGGAGTTGAGACTGTAGAAAGGCTGAGCACATGCTGATTCGATATCGAAGCGTCATACGTCGCGAGCAATGCATTAGTGTACATCCGACCCATCGAGAAGTGCATGGCCTGTCTGATAAGATAAGATGCGATGGGATCACGTGAGGCGAGGAAGAGGACGTGCGATGAAGATGAACGTATGCGATGTCGTGACATACTGGATTCTGATCGTCAACGCTTCCCGGATGGCTCAGGTAATGCTACTTACCACCGCGAAACACGCGACCGCAAGCAAGCTGTAAATCTTCAGTCTGAGCACCGCCGGCATCACTGGCTTGTAGCGAACCTAGTAGCCAATCCAGTAGCGACGGTGTATTGCACGACTCGCGCAAGAACAAAGTTCGTCCTGACGAAGTTGCTATCTCTGCCCTGGACTCGCAGATACCACACCAAGATACTCGCAATCGCCACATCGACCGCAGCGGCAAGCCCGAATACAGCCAAGACCTCACCCGAGTAGTTTGAGAATGCCGTGACGCTCGGGATGCGGCTGATTTGCGCCGACATGGCCGCTTCGAGGGCGAAGGTCGCGAGGCATGCCGCCCCGAGGACGGCGATGAGTGCCCAGTTCTTGTTGCTGAACGTCCAGATGCGGGACAAGAAGAACCCCTGGCAGACGGCACATGCGAGCCCCACAAAGACCAGATGCAGGTCCAGGACTTGGGTCGAGACAAGCAGGGCCGCGTTGTTGCCCCAGCTAGCGACCAGATAGTGGTAGCAGGATTGGGATATGAGCACCAGGTGGGTGACGTCTAGGAGCCTGGAGATAGGACATGTAGCTCAGATGTGGAGCTGATGTATCGAGGGCACTCACCACACTCCACCGACCAAAGTCTTCAGTCCGATACCATCCTCCGGGAAGCTTTCGTAGTAGATATACGTCTGGACGGTAAGCACGCCTTGGAAGCTTGGGACCCCGAAGTGAGCAAGGTCCATTCACTGACGCAGCAGCCAGCTCACAAGATGGCAAACAAGACTGGATCGACCGAGTCCACGTTAGCCATGCACCACGCAAGGTCGTCGCAAGTCCACACTCACCACCGATGAGCATTGCGCCATACGTTGGGTCCATCGGATTGGAGGTCATCTCGTCAGAGCAGAGCAGAGCAGAGCAAGTCTGTTACCCTCCAAACGGCAGCCGGGTACATTTTAAAAGTGGGCAGCTCATCGGTCGCGATTTCAGTCGGATCAGTCAAGCTGCGATTGAGGTTTACATTGGAACCAGTTGACCCGAGACGGGCCCGAGCTTGTAGAGCCTCAATTTGAATTGTGCGGCTGCAGCTTGGGAAGTGGATCCGAGACCAAGTCGGCAGACGCATGCCCCGGGAAACGAATGGAGATGGAGAGATTATGAAATGATCTGCGGTATAGGCGGATCATCGGGGCATTGTCGAACCTCAAGTACCTTGCCGCGATAGAGCACAAGACGAGGCTGGTAGGGGATTGCAGTGCGAGACTCGATGGCATCGGCAGAGCAGGTAGGTGGATCATGGAAGTGAGACTTGAGATGCGAGGACCCACAGCTGGATTTCGAGCCTCCCACTGTACCTGCCACGAGGAGACCAGAACCTTACAGGGGTAGACGGCTGAGGGGAAAGTCGCTATACTTTCGTCGGTGCATGAACTTTGCGGATAGGAACCATCGGGGGACGCTCACCCGACTAATGCTTTAAGGCACGTACTGGCAAGTCGGGAGACTGCGCTGGACGGATTTGCGACGACACCGGATCGAAACCGTCCATGTCGGTTCTGTCGAGATGCGATACTGGCGTACACAGTGCATTCGCGACTGGTGTCAGTGAGACTGCGCAAAGACTGTTCGCTGCAGCTGAAACGCGAGATCATCGGTTTGCTCACGGTCGGGTGGGCTGCTGAGCCCGGTTTTTGAAGATCTTCTGTTGGAAAGGTTGAAGATGGCACGGATTGTTAATTATGGACACCAGTCCACCGTAATCTGCGGGAGCGAGCAGATGTTCCAGCCAACACGACCATTGTACTGGTTCAGCTCAAATAGAAGGTCATTCCGCGCAGATCAACTGTTTTCGTGCATCAATCCGCTGAAATCCGAAGGGAGTTGGCCGCTGTGCTCCTCGTCCGAAACGACGGCGGGGAGTCCAAGTCGAAGGCGCGAAGTAGCTTTTAAGAGCCTTATAAGGTGGTGATTGGATAATGATGGGATCATTTACCCTAACCCACCCTTTTCCACCACTGGTGCACATCCCCACTTGTGGACGTTCGCTCCGTTCTACTATGGGTGGTACTTGTCCGATGAGCTTTCACACCATACCCCTACTTCGCTTCGCCTAAACCACCTTGTTTACTACGAGATGAGCGCTTCGAGCAATGTGCCAACGAAGACCTGTCATGCTCTCCATTTCTACGCATACAAGTGTAGCCTCTCCACTGTCGGTGTCATACTATCTATCGAATCCTCTACGCCGCCCTCGCACCTCACACCATCCCTCTTAGTCTGCAACAACGCAAGGACCTCGTCCATCACTGTGTCTCTCGCCCTTCTCGTCCTTCCCTCCGCCTCTACCAGATCAATCTTCAACGCCGCAACCATCAACTCAAGCCGCCTGATTCCCGCCTCCAGCTCCACCTCTCTCTCCCTTCCCAGCCGGATTCTGACATCCCTCTCATTCTCCCGCTTCTGAGCTGCCTCAAGCCGTTCCTCAAGATCGATGCGATGCATACGTTCTGCGGCGCGGGCAATTTCTGTCTCGACTCGGCGGGTCTCGGAGATCTGGGCGATGGATTGGACGTTTGAGAGCCAAGCTGTGTAGCTTGTAGCATCTTCGGTGTCGGCAGCCGGGATACACAACAAGCCGGACACCGCGTCAACCACTTCCTTGGCGCTCACTACGGATGGTGGTGGTTCTCTAGGCCCGCATGCGACGTTCGGCTGCTCTAGGATTGTTTCGGTACTATCATGTACGTGAGGTATCTTCTGGGGTCGTATCAGACTGGAAGGGATGGATTATACGGAAGAGGGTGCTCACCACCCATGTACTGTCAAGATGATCGCAAGCCGCATCGTCTTTACTTGTCCCCTCGGCCGCAAATATCGATACGTCGAGTCCGACATGCTGCAAGTTGCTCTCAAACAACAAAAGAGTGGGAATTTCTTTGACCGCCAGCGCCTCGTGTAGATGGTGCACCACAAACCCCACGAACTGGTGCCCCCTCCGCTCTGCATCCCCACCAGCATCCAGTGAATCGGCTACGCCGAAGCACACCTGGGCATAGAGGGACGAATGCATCGGCTGGGTACCGGCCATGCCGACAATCCGATGGGCCACGTGGCTCGCCGCCGCCACCGCCTCCTCAGGGAATGATTCTTCGCCAAACGCAAGAAGGGATACGATCTTCGTACAGGTTCCGGTGATGTTCGATGGCACGAGCTTGTTCAGCAGGCCTGTGAGTTTCCGGTCCGAAGAGGCGGTGAGGAAAGGCGCGAAGTTTGTGGGGAAGGGGATTGACATCTTTGCAAATGGGGAGAGGCGCGAGGAAGGGAGAAAGAACTATTTTATGAATGCATGTCGCATTGAAACCATGAGGTGGGGCTGATTCATCGTCGCCGTGAGGCGCCAGATAATCTTATCTAAAAGTGAGACTCGTACAAGCACACCATAATACAAGGCTTGTGCTTGCTTCTTCGTATATTTAGACAGAAACCCGTGCCAGGCTCCAGTAAGATTTCCTGCGCTAGGTCATTTGCTTGTCTCTCCTTGTCTCTCTGGGGAACGGATATGTCACATACATGGAGAGCATGGACCAGAAGCGTGTCACGGCTCCGAGTCCATGGGACTTTTCCCAGACAAGAATCGACATCTTTGCGGTGCAACGAAAGTGACCGGAAAAGACCTGTTTCCTCCGTTGTTCTCCGACCCTCCGGAACTGAAGCACAGAAGCCGCATGCATCTTCAACTCGCCTCACCTGATACTTACACTGCGTGGCACAAGAGGTCGAGGGTCTCACGATCGGGTACTGGACGCCGACCCACAGCTTGCTTTCGATTCCAAGCGACGTCGTCGGCCATGTATCAGCCAGAAAGCGACATCCGATGGGTCATAAGATCCGGTACTTCCAACTCGCATGAATATTCAACGACTGGCCTGTGAATGTCCTTCCGTCACAGGAAGGTCTCCGAGTCACGTGTGGCTCGACGTGCTGCTCAGAAGATCGTTGAGAATCCTCTCTTGGCGAGGACTCGTGACCATGATGCGTGATGTTCCAACCGCTCGTCAGAACGGGCGACTGGGGACACCTTTACGGCAATTGGTCGGAGAATCCGAAGAGTGGTGTGATCTTTTTCACTATAAAAGTCAGAGGGGATGGGTGAATCACAACTCTATCCACCATGACGAACAAAATTCACTCGAGGGTGGGACTGTTCGGGCTTGTAGCTCTCGCAGGGTCTGTAGCCGGATTGGAGAATGGGGTGGCGAGACTTCCGGGTGCGTGTCGCCATCGTCGTTCTTTCTTTCGCTCTGTCTGACCTGTGATAGTGATGGGATACAACAGTGCGTGTGAAGCACTTTGACCTGATTTCGACCTCCAACTCCCATCGCAGCCTGGAACGCGTTCCAATGCAACATCGATCAGCAGCTCATGGTCACCACCGCGAAACTGATGAAATCGCTCAAGCTCCAAGAGGCGGGGTATTCGTTTGTCAACATCGACGACTGCTGGGCGGAAAAGAACCGGTCCAAGAGTGGAGATATGGTTCCCGGTACGTGAAAAATACAGTCTCTTCTTCAAACGCTTGCTGAGGTGCTGGGGTCTGCTCTAGACAAGATCCGGTTCCCGTCTATCACGAACATGACGAATGAGATCCATTCGCTGGGATTGTGAGTGCATCGGCTTTTGAGCGTGCAAGATCCGGACCCTAATTGATTCGCCAGCAAAACCGGCATCGTCCGTGGAGCTCTTTGCTAAAAATTGACTCCTGACTGAATGAACGTGAACAGTACAGTGATTCGGGCTGGTTCACGTGTGCTGGATATCCCGGGTCCTTCCAGAACGAACTTCGAGATGCCACGACGTTCCAAAATTGGGGATTCGACTACTTGAAGTGCGTCCAGTTTGATTGACGGGAACCATCGCTGATGTTCTGCAAAGGTACGACAACTGTGCGAGTAAGTTGATTCTTTCGAGTCTCTTTGCGAGTTTCTCATGCCTCGTAGTTCCGTACGATGATATCATCGAGGAGGGTATGATTGGAAGTGAGACTGTCCATTTCCAGCTCCTCGATGTGTCTAAGCTGTGAGCAGAGTATCAACGGATGACCGATGCATTCGCCTCTCTCGCAAAATCGAGCGGGAAACCGCCTTTCATCTTTTCGCTTTGCCAATGGGGATGGGTAAGCATTCGATATTACTATTCCGCCCTCAACGCTGACGCTGCTTAAAGAGCCAAGTCTGGCTGTGAGTTGGCCGATGTGTTCGTGTACAGTTTTGCTTAATCCGTCGTGTCAGTTGGGGTGCCACTATGGGCCACAGTTGGCGTGTATGTGCCTCCTCCTCATTAGACTTTCGCCTCATTGACGTCCGCGGTAGGTTACTGGCGATATTGCACCCAAATGGGACTCGCTTGCCGCGATCATCAACTTGTGCGTTTTCATTAATTTGCCCGATCCAGTCATATGTACTGATTCTTCGATGCAGTAACTCGTTCATCACAGCAAGCACTGATTTCTTCGGCCATAATGATATGGACATGGTACATATCATTTCCGAAATTCCGCCGTGTCGAGATATGCTAACCGATCTTCAAAGCTTCAACTCGGCAATGGAGGGTTGACTTTTGATGAAGCGAAATCGCATTTCACTGCCTGGGCCTTGATGAAGAGTCCCCTTCTGGTATGTTTGACAAATTTGCTTTTTCAACATGCTCAAACATCATTCTGCTAGATTGGCACGAATGTAATTGTCCCCCTACCGCCTGCTCTGACATGTGTCGCTTACCGCAGCCAAAGTTGTCGACCATCACTCCGGATATCTTGGAGATTCTCACTAACAAGGAGATCATCGCCATCAATCAGGATCCCGTTGTAGGCAAGAGCATCTCTCCTTTCAGATGGGGCATCAATGTGAGCGCAAATCTTGTGTGAGCGGAGTTGAAAGTACTGATTGATTATCAATTAGCCCGACTGGACGAGCAACAGCTCTTTCCCCGCTCAGTACTACAGCGGACCGTCTGAGAAAGGAACGGTGTTCATGCTGGTTGGTCCCAGGTCTCACGTTGATCCCGCTCGGCTCTGACTCTTTGAAAGCTGAACACGTTGAACGAACCGGCTGACATGACCTTCAATCTGACCGAGTCGCCCTGGATCCGTGCGGGAAGGCAATATCATGTCCGAGTGAGTGTTCATCTCTGCACTGGCTCCATAAAACGCCCCATGCTAACCGACAAACCTTCCAGGACCTCTGGTCGCACACTGACAACGGAACAGCCGTGCGGAATTTCACCGCGCATGCTGTCCCTGCGCACGGTGTCGTCGCGCTGCTGCTCAAGGACGCCGGGAACGAGCCCAAGGGGATTTTCCCTGCGTGCTCGGTCTGGTTCCAGTGCACGGATAAGAACGGAACGCGCGTCGGTGGTTGAAAAATAGTCAGTGTACTCGTATTTACGCTGTAGTAAATTGTCACATCCTTGTCGTGTCGAACAAATTGTTGTTAACATTGATCAGCTGACCGTATCTCTCTGCCTTGGCCAGTTCAATCCACGTGATACTGATAGTGATGCGGACAACTTTCATCTAGCTTGGTCTTTGGTCCCCCATTTATGATCCAGTCCGTATTGCTGACCCGTGTCCCCAACCAAGGGACCCAGTGGCCGTGGATATTGAAGTTTAGCTGCTTTCTCATCCTGAAAGGACGTGTTTTGGCTCCTACATTGACTATTGCGTAGCAGACCAACTCGAAAACGAGGCAGTGCTCGAGACCAATCAAGACAGATATCGGACGTCGATCGGTGCAAAGTGTGTCGGCGGCGAGCTCACGCCTCATTCGCATGTCGATGGAGAAATACTGAAAGACAGGTGGACGTTATCCGTGGTAAGGCAGTTTTACTCTGCATGACCCTGACAGTCTTGAATTCCCAGAGGGGGTTCAGGGCAAAGAAGCCACCGGCGAGTCCTGCACATATCCACGAATGGCTCTACTGTGCCGAGATCTACCTGCGTCTTCGAGCTGTCCCCACATCCAACTATCGAAGTCTTTTCATGCACCTGTCACCGAATTTTCTCAGGTCGGTCTACGTACCCGCGTCTTGTCAAAGGGGATGCTCTGAACATCGTTTCAAACCTCTGTGCATCGGCATCCGACCCGCGCCTGCCGATTTATCTACGGATTTCCGCCTGGTTTCTATCGCGAGTATTGTCGTTAAAAAAAACCGCCAGCACATGAGCTCTCCCACATAGGCTACATCCACGAGATCGACGGACTCTACTATATGGTCTTTTCTCCTTCTATTGGGTTGTGGAAGCACTTTCGATCAAGTTACCGGTTGATCTACTCAAAAGCGCACGAATCGATAATCGCTGACATAGAAATCGAATCTCGCGGGCAATCAAACTTTCATGTGGCCCGATACTGTCCATTCCTGGATAGCATCAGCGATGCCCATTTGAAGCGCCGAGATTCGCATGATGATTTTACAGATCTGAGTTGGAACTTGGCCACCCTCAATCGAGGGCCATCTGGCGGGCGGCGACGGCATTTGGACAGAAGCCGCGGTGAATAGGCAAACAGACAGGATCAGGCCGGTGGACCCACCGATCTCGTAAGCATCAGGCGTCTCCCTGAAACGATGGTCTTGAACTAGCCTCCCAGCTCTGCGGATTAGATATCTCTTTCTAGTTATATCAGTGCGACATATTTCTTAACAATTCGCCATTTGATATCGGCCCCGACAAGGACGGTGAAGTGATAGGTGTTGCTGATGATGAAGATCTGATTGACATCTTCGCTCAACCTATAAATGAATGACATGTGAGATCTCAGCTGCTAAATGCGATCGGGAGTACTAGGAATACTACGGTTGGGACACCAGACTCAGAGCGCTCCTAAGCGATGATAACGATGTCGTGGGCCTGCACTCATTTTTGGTGCCTCGGCCAAAATACGCAGCCCGATTCCTGTGAATCAGCATGAGTTCTACCACCCTGGGACCAATCCTGGCGAGCGGCCGGCGTTAGAAGGAGCGGGATATAGACGCAGGGAATCCACGTTATTACCCTGCCCAGACGTTTATCTGGTCGCTCGCTTATGTGCGTGTGAAACTCAGTAGCACTTTACGGCTACTGCCCGTCCGCGGGTCGAAAGGCTCGCCTTATTACGCACTTGATGTTTCTACAATATCAAGATACGATGCCCGAGAAGCTTCTATGCCGGACGCCTTAGCTGCTGAAAGTTCAATTTTAGAAATCGCCATCCTGCATTGAATGGTCCATGAAAGCCTACATAGTAACTCTGTGTTGTCGCCAGAAATATTCGTTGGGTCAGGCAGAGTATTGTTGATCGGATCAAATAAAAAACGGCAATCAATAGCTGCTTTTCAAAATACACGCCCACCGAATGGACAGTCTAACTTCCAACTGGTGTGAGTGTGTGTGATACAAGCTCTGCTCTATCACACTGCGGGGCACTGATTATCTCGCGTCCCCGAATCTTCGCCGAGGCTTCTCTCCAGTACATCCGCAGCCAGCACACCCCAGCGATCGGAGTTGGGGTTTGTTTTGAAGCTTCTCGCAGTTCGACTTTGTGCTTGCAGCCGCACTGTCTCCGCGTATCCATGTCGCCCCACGAGCATGGGACAGTGCATCACGTCCTATTGCCTCCCATCGGTGCTTCTCAGACTTGGCTGGACCACATGGAATCAGTAGAGCTGATCATTGTCCGAGATGGCTCTTCTCCAATGTCATTTCAAGAAATCCTGGGAATCATGGGATGAAGGTGTTCCCCGGGTGGCTGATGACTATATAAGAACTGCGAGGGACTGAATCCGATAGTGTGCCCGCAAAGCTGCAATGCCCGGAATCATCATCGCAGGAGCTGGGTGCGCCACTTCTTCTCTCCCTCTCCCTCTCTCCGATGGAAGCTGATCGTTCTCTTACATTGAAGCGTCGGCGGGCTTATGACCGCCTTCGCGCTGAAGTCTAAGCTGGGCTACGACGATTTCGTGGTGCGTTTCGGTGGTGAACTGCTCTGCGCTTGACCGACGAATCCGATTGTAGATCTACGAGAAAGCGACCGACGTGGGAGGGACCTGGCGTGTAAGTGCTAAATGCGTTCTGTTCTCGCAGTTAGAAGAAGACTAACCTATTTCTCTTAGGACAACATCTATCCCGTGCGCCTGACTTCTCGCGACTTTCACGTATCTCACCTACTGCACAGGGCGCCGCGTCTGATATCAACGTCCACTTCTACTCGCACTCCGCAGATCTCAATCCTGAATGGGACACGACAGTCGCGGGACAAGCCGACATGCACGTGTATTGGCAGAAGCTCACCGCCAAGTATGGCATCTACCCGAACATCTCCTTCGGGCGTGAAGTCGTCTCGGCCGAGTGGGAGGCTGACACGGAGCAATACACCGTCATCTCGCGAGATGTGGCGACTGGGGAGACGTCCGAGGCCACCGCCAAGGTGTTCATCTCTGCCATCGGGGTGTTGAATGTGCCCAGATACCCGAACATTCCGGGCCTGTCGTCGTTCAAGGGCCTCCAGTTCCACTCCGCCAGATGGGATGCAGGTGCAGACCTTGCGGGCAAGAGAGTGGCGGTGATTGGGAACGGTGCTTCTTCGTGCGTGTACTGCTCCCCCGTTTTCGGATGGTCTGATGACCAGTCGTGCAGTGTTCAGTTCATGCCCTTCATTTCGAAGGATCAGAGCGTGCAAGTGACCCAATTCTGCCGAACCCCCCATTACATTTTCCCCTCGGTAAGCTTCGAGGATTCTTCCGTCCCTGATACTTACTAACCAATTCCATCATCAGATCAAGAGTGAATACTCTGCGGCGTGGAAATGGTGCTTGCGGAACATCCCCGGTCTCATCAGAGCCTATCGCCACTTCCTCTACTTCGATGTAAGCTACTCGCTATCTCCGATGGACTCTTTGCTGATCTGTTTCTAGGCCGAAGTGCGCTACGCGCTGGTGTTTGCCAGCTCGTTCCTTCGCAAATACGTGACGAGGCCTGTGAGTTTGGTTCCCCAGTTCCAAGTTGCTCACACTGACTGTGGCCGATTCAGATTCCTGTGGGATACATGAAGTCCTCCATCCCTGCGAAATACTTGGACAAGATGATTCCGGAGTATTGTGGGTGTCTCTTGATCAAATGACTCTTGAATCACTTCTGATTGTGATAGCCCTGGGATGCAAACGCTTGCTGTTTGATGTTGCTTACATGGACACCCTGCATCGCCCCAACGTCGAGCTCAACTGGGATGGCGTCCAGACCATCACTGAGGATGGGATCATCACCAAGACCGGTCAGCCATAGCGTGCTTGCGCAACTTTCCGGACTGATGTGTGTCCTATCTCTAGGCGAGGTCATGCCTTTCGACGTGATCATCTACGCAACTGGCTTCCAGGCGGTGCGTAGTGCAGTGCCCCCGAGTTTTGCTCATGCTGAGTTTCGCAGGATAAATACCCTTTGAACATTGTGAACGACAAGGGTGTCACCATCCAGGACTACTTCAACGCCAACGGCGGTCCACAGGCCTACCTCGGAATGGGCTCGCCCGGGTTCCCGAACATGTTCTACATCGGCGGTGCGTTTGTAGACTCGGATTGCCGTTCCGATTTTGACCTGGCGAATGCAGGCCCGAACACTTACACCGGCCACACATCGGTCATCCACACCGAGGAGCTCCAGATCACGTACCTGCTCAAGATGCTGCCGTACATTCTCTCCGGGGAGGTGTCTTCCTTCGAGCCCAGCCTCAAGGCGACCGAGGACTACAACGATGTGGTTCAGAGCCGCATGAACCGGTCGTCGTATGTGTCGTGTGACTCGTGGTACCGCGCTGGAGGAGACGGCAAGGTGACTGCGACGTTCCCGGGCCCGATGCTGCTGTACTGGTGGTGGGTGCGCCACATCAAGTGGTCCGACTGGGTCGCCAAGGCGAACAACCAGCGCAAGTGGGACCGCAGCGTCAGGTGGGGCACCATCGGTCGTGCCCTGAACCCTTTCAGCTATGCCATGGCTGCCGGGGGCAAGGTCCTCGCGTGGTTGAGTGTATAGAATGTATCCTGTTGTTCAGACTGTTTTGTACATTAGGACAAGGTTTTGCGCATTTGAATGTCATCTCATTAGCATTTCGCCAAAGGCGTTCGTGTCAGTGTCACACGAGGGAGGAGGATTTTGGAACAGATTCCTGGAATGCTGCAGACGTAGCAGAATGAGTGGTCTATGGTAGATGGTTCTGAATACTTCCAGGAGACTCGGCTGCAACTACCAAGTATCGAGGGTGGAAGCGAGCCTACATCAGTGGCACTGCTGATGGACTTGAGATGTCTTTTCCTGCGTCTCGCTCACAGCAACTTGGGAGCCTAATCAAAATAACACACTTCTACTCGAACTTCAACGTCATTCGTCATCGTCAAAGGGAAGGCACCATTCGTGTGGGAGGATGAGAATCCAGTTCTCGCTCTGGTGTGTCGGCTTGCCATTTTGCCCAATCGGCGATTCATATACCCATACCCAGACCGTATCTCGAACACGTCCCTCCGCGATAGCTAGCAGACCAAAGATTGCACAACCGAGGAGTCTGCATGGGTGCGATCGTCTACGGACAGATGGGTGATTGAATATTGACAGGGCCGCAGACAGCCCCGCATGCTTGGGCTCTCCATCACAGAAATCTTCCTTTGAGAGGGATCGTCCTCGACGATTAGCCTTGCTTTGTGTGTTGCCGACGTGCTAGAGAAGTTGCGGACGAGGAATTAAAGCGGGACTGCCATGTGCTGGGACTTGAGGCTGGCCCAACCTGGCGCAGGGTCCGAGAATCCACCGCGACGATCAATTTCTCTCAGCAGCCACTTCGGCAGACAGCCGCCAATGTCACTCCCCTCCAGTGGCCTGCTCAGCAGTCGAGTTGTGTGAATCCTATCTACGGTCGTTGCATATGGTGGGAGACATTTTCTGTTTGACTGCATCATTCACACTTCCATGTGCGTTTCAGGAGGTGCAAGCAGACGTCCCTGCAGGCAGTTTAAATACGCTGAAGGCTTCATCCGGTGCCTGGAAGAAGGAAACGCTGCGGCAAGATGTCTGCGCCCCCCGCCATTGCTCCAGCCAGTGCCGACTCCGATGCATACTGTAGGCGTCTTCGGTTTAGGTCTCCCTGCCTGGCGACTGAGGAATATCTTCAGTGCCATTCGTGATCACTGCTGCGATAGCCTTTTCTCTGATGGTTTGGGAGTAGTAAGTGATCGTGTCCCTATCTAACGCGTTCCGTCTGAGGGCTTAACCATGCCCTTAGCGCCCTCCAGCTTCCAATTGAGATCAAGCTATATGCCAGAAGACGTGTCTGGAACAAGGCACCCGCATACGGATTTGTCGGACTGCGCTACGGCAGTCTCCTCGCCACCGCTCCGATGCTGGTCCTCTCTGTGGCAAGGCTGGACAACTGCCAAATCATGGCGTCGCTGGCGCAGGCTGGATCGGTGCTGGTCGTCGCTGGATCCGCAGCCATCATAACTTTCCGCACGGGTCTGCTGTGGGACGACCACCAGGGAGTGCTGGCGCCCTTGGGTGCGATGGGGATGCTGGTTACGACGGCTTGGGTGAGTTGATACTCTTACAATGGAACATGGCCCGTCGCTGATGAGGGGTCAGGTTGTTCTTGCGACGAATTATCGAGCCACTTCCGAGTCCGTGCTTGTATTGAATGGGAATTGTCGTATCTCCCCGACTGTTGTTTGGCTACCTCTTGCCAACACCGCGTTCCTGATCTTTCTGCTCTCGGCGCTGGTTCTGTCGCTTTGCAAGATTCGATTCTTCCATCCGCGGGACTCAAGGGTCGCGTACAACATGTACCGTGATTACGTCGCCTGCGTCACTGGCATCACATGTGTCACACTGGCCGCGCTGATCATCGAGGGCCTCGCGCCTCGATCTGGCGCATTCGCCCTCAGCTCGAAACTGCTGCAGATTGTGTTCGTTGCGGCCCTTTCCTCCCGGGCATTCCAGAACTATCTCCTCGCGGACGTGATTGAAGCCGACGGATCGCATGTACGGCCGTACCCAACCAGTTTCACGACCGTGTCGCATACGAGCGAACTCAAGTACCCGAATCCAAGTCCGAGCAGAAGCCCGAATCCTGCGTCTGCAAGTCCGTTGATGACTTTCTCCCCGACCAGTCCCTTCTCGGCTGTGACACCGTCTCCTTTTTCGCCGGCACCGTCGTCCTCACCCACGGGCCGAAGTCGCCTCGGGTCGGTGGATTCGAATGCTGCTGCTCCCGTGGTCCATGCCGCGTCGTCGACGCTTGCTGGACGGAACCGTCTCGGGTCGGCGGATTCGGCTGTCAGCGGTACTGCCAACACTGGGAATGTGCTCGCTGGGTCGTATACGAAGTTCCCTTCGCCGCCTGCGTCGTACGAAAACGCTTCTCCGCTTACTGGTGCCTCTTCGTCGAGGGTCGCTGCAACGGGCCGGACTATGCCTGTGGCCTCCTCGTCCGTTGCGTCCAGCAGCAAACCGCGTTTGCCCACGCCATTAGCCCCGCTGCGACGGAACGAAAAGCCGAGATCCACACTTCCTGCACCTCCGCTTTCAGGCTGGTCGGATTCTTGAACATTAGTAACAACAAATCTTCTCGTATCTACTTATATACTTATGTATTTATCTGACAATCGACCACCTGGTACAGTTCGTATGTGATGCTGGCACCGCCACACAACAATCACCACGCGTGTAGAATCATGTGCAATCCCTCGCCAACGACGATCGCCTTCTTCTCGATTGTTGACACACCCTGCATGAGATGCCTACTCGCTTGCGAATGCGCAAAGACTAGTCTGAAATCGAGACCGCGGACGTCCTCATAGGGCAGCCTTGCTGAGAAGGAGAACGCCCACACCCCAGACTGCACTAGTGATCGACGCTGGAACTGGAACGGCTAGATGGGATTGGTTTTCACGGGCAACTCCACATGCGCTGCCCAACCCAGATCAGTGCTGGCATGCCGCCGAGAAGAGTTGGCCATACATCGCGTGTTGGGCCCGTGTGGTATGTGCAGTAACTCCTTGCCCTCATCAACATCTATACATATAGTGAGGCTGATACCCCGACTGCCACCTTCTATCATTCCTTCGTTTGCGTCCACGGCGAGACATGGCTGCTCTCCTTACTCTCAGGCTATTGCTGACGTGGGTGACCCCGGCCCTGGGAGCTGCGGTGTCACCCCGGATGACGCTGGACAACGGGACCTTCTTGGGTATTTCTGGCTCTGCCAACACGCACAGCTATTTGGGGATCCCCTTCGCAAAGCCGCCGTGTGTAGCTTTCACCGAGTGACATTTCAAGCGCCCTGACAGCTTCTATGTAGTGTTGGGCCTCTGCGCTTCAACCTGCCGGCTCCCGTAGACGCTTACCACGGGGACTTCAATGCGACGTCGATGGGATTCTCTTGCCCACAACAATATGTCAGGGTGCCGATCCTGACGGGCATCGCCGACCAGCTCGTGAGCACGCTCTGGTCCAAGTACTATAGCGGAAAGTACCCCGACGACGAAGACTGTAAGCAGTTTCCCTATAGTGTCTCCTTCCCTTCTCTTACATGCTGCTTTTTCAGGTTTAACAATCAACATCATCAAGCCGGCGAACGCGACTGCGGATTCCAAGCTGCCTGTCGTGTTCTGGCTCTTTGCAGGCGCCTTCGAGTTTGGCACGCCGGCGCGGTACGATGGAACACCGGTCGTCGAGCGGTCGATTGAGATGGGTCAGCCGATCATCTATGTCTCCATCAACTACCGTCTGTCCGGTAGGCCCGCTCTTGTTCCCTGTCAAGCGCTTCTCCGTCTCATTCGTCGACAGCATTCGGGTTTTTGGCGAGCAAGGAAGTGCGTGCGGCTGGTGTGGGAAATCTGGGACTTCAGGACCGTCAGTGCACGACTTGGTGTCTCTCTCCCCGATTGCTGATTTGCTCCATAGAACGGGAAGCTTTACGTTGGGTGCAAAAGTACATTTCCCAGTTTGGCGGTGATCCTACGAAGGTTACCATTTGGGGCGAATCGGCTGGCGCCATCTCCGTCTCGCTGCAGATGCTGACTAACGGTGGCGACACGGAAGGACTGTTCCGGGCTGCCTATATGCAGAGTGGGTCGCCCGTGCCGGTGGGACCGGTGGAGAATGGTCAAAAATGTGCTTTCCTCCCTCTTCTGTTATCACAGCAGATTGATCATTAATCGGACAGACTATGACGCCATCGTCCAACAAACTGGATGTGGCTCTTCAAACGACACGCTGGACTGCCTGCGCGGTGTGCCCTATGCGACATTGAAAAGTGTGGTTGATGCATCTCCGTTCTTCTTGGATTACTCGGCGTTGGTGCTGGCTTGGGTTCCCCGTGAGGACGGTAATTTCTTGAAGGATCACCCACAGAAACTGGTGCAGCAGGGCTCGGTGGCCAATGTGCCCCTTGTCAGTGGTCAGTGGCCCAGTGGTTGCTTCGACGTTGACTAGCCTCATGAGCTGCATCCACAGGCGACTGTGACGACGAGGGCACTATCTTTTCGCTCTCGACACTGAACATCACGACGGACGATCAGTTCGCGAGCTGGCTCGCCACAGAATGGGCGCCCACCTCGGGCCCGGATGTCGTTCAAGCTTTGACCGCGGCCTACCCCAGCGACGTCAGCTTTGGCTCGCCGTATGGTACCGGGTCCTTGAATGCCCTCACACCCCAGTACAAGCGTATTGCTGCGTTCCAAGGAGATGCAGTCTTCCATGCCCCCAGACGCTTCTTCCTGCAATCCCAGTCGGGCAAACAGCCCATGTGGTCCTACCGTGGGTTTCCCTCCTGCATTCTCGTTTGTCACAACGCGATACTGACGGGCGCGTGCAGTCAACAAGCGAGACAAGATCATCCCTGTACTCGGCTCGTTCCACACCTCGGACGTGAGCAACGTTTTCGGCAAAGGCGAGTTGACCGACTACCTCGTCAACTTTGTCACGAACCTCGATCCAAACGGGCCGACTGTCCCTCAATGGCCGCAGTACTCGACAGCACAGCCGAACCTGCTCACGCTGAATGACATTGGATCTGGGCTGTTTGCGCCCAAGATCGAGATCACGCAGGATACGTTTAGGAACGAGTCGATTGCAGTGATGACGCAGATCTCGCTGGAGCATCCGATATGATTGAATCTCGGTTTGCGGCGTGTTTTTACTGGGATAGACACGAGGAGTGCGTCGGAAGGGAAGTCTCGACCCCAACACGCGTATTGTTATTGTTCAATTCTCTGTCCTCTCTATAGACTGCAGGTTTATTGATACATACATAATTGGGAGTGCTTATTTGACATTGGCAACGTGAGCGCAGTTCGGATGTCGTTCCCAATTTCATTTACCCGGGCCCTTGATCCTTGGCTACGGGTGAATCCGAACAGGAATTGAAGCTTGCTGGGGAGAAGGTCGACTGGAGAAGGGGCGGACAATGTCCTCTTGAACTATACACTCGCCGGGATCGAAATGTCGAAACATGTCTGTGTCTAGACTTGGCGCAGCACAGTCGGACGAGATGCACGTTCCGACAGCAGCATCAGAGGGTGGACTACTGGCACACGACCAACGCAAAGTGTGAGAGCGCAAGACGAGAAAAGAGCGCGGGCACGCCCCTTGCACCACGGGAGAAGGGCATTTGGATGTAACGTATGTTCTCCAATTGGCGCAAACAACCCAAGTAGTTGTTTTGGAAAACTTGGCGGATCCTCGACTTTGCGCTCTGAGCGGGATGGGGCTCTGAGAACGGGTGTACATATCATGTACCTGTTCTCTGGAATCGCGCGGCACAAAGCTTCAAGCGTCTTGGCATCCCCAGCTGGGGAAAGAGCGTATCCTGCTTCAGAGACTGTCACGTTCCCCGGTCATGTCGACTGGAATGAAAGTGAAAGGTGACATGGTCAAGTTTCACCGGCAACCTGAATGCACTTATATGAGGGCCGAGGTGTGGGGGACCGCGGCGAACGAGTACTGTGCGAACGAGATTGAGCTTGGATTGAGCCAGATAAACAACTGGAAGAGTGTTGGGAGCACTAAAAACAAGAGCTTGAGTGGTGGATATGAACGGCCCGCGGGGCTCTTGAGGGCTACAACGGAGGGTGTAGAGGTCGCGGTCAAGTCACAAACTAAGCGTGGAGTGCTTGGTGTGCATCACCTACGTTGACTATCATATCCGAGCTCCGCCTCGTTGTTCATGGCAGGCACGTACCAGTGCGCATATAAAAACAAAAGTGCGCTTGGCTGGACCACAAACAGAGACGCTCTTCAAAGAAAAAGGGGCGGCAACTTTTTCGAATTAGGGCGGCGTGGAGCATCGATATCTCGGCAGCCAAGAAGTGCTACATCCGTGGCGATCGTCATTAGCCTTGGTCAGCGGAGCCTCTCCTCCCTTTTTGTCTTCTCCCGCCACTGTATCCGCAGGCGTGCGCCTCCCGCCGCTCCACAGTTCACGCCTACAACCGACGGTCTGGATCCAGCAACGCATCACCACGCTTTCTGCCGGACGCGCCCAATCACCCTGCGCGATTTTAGCCATTCGCCTCCGGGGTAATCACGACCTCGACCAGGAGAGGAAATGCTCCATTTCAATCCCGTGCGTCGTTCCACTTCCTCTTCGTGACCGCGTCTGACATGTGTCGGTGTGCAGATCGACGTGACCGTGCCCCATGTCGCGTATGCCGCCTTGGGGGGATTCGTCGTCATCGTGAGTAATGGTTTACATACTCCTTATATCTGCCATGCCCATCTCGTGTCTTTCAGTTCGGGATGTTCTCCCTGCTCCTCCGTGAGCGACTCTACGTCGGTGAAGCCTGCTGGGCATTCATTTTCGGTGTCATTGTGGGGCCGTATGGAGCGAATATATTCAATCCCCGAGGCTGGGCCGGCGATGACCGTACGTGCTCCTCTAAGCTGTTCTTTGTCCGCCCTTGCTAACAGATCCACTCTCTACCGTGTCCTGCCTTCTCCTCTCGACATCGACATCGACAATCACTATCACTACTCACGGAAATGTAGCCGGCACGGTCAATACGATAACTCTGGAGCTGACCCGTGTGGTCCTCGCCATCGGAGTGTTCGCCATCGGTGTCGAGCTTCCGAAAGCGTACATGCGAAAACACTGGCGGAGCCTCTTCTTCCTGCTGGGGCCTGTGATGACTTGGGGCTGGTTCGTTTCCGCGGCCTTCATCTACTGGCTCATCCCGGGCCTCAACTTCCTCTCCTCGCTTGCCGTCGCCGCGTGCCTGACGCCGACGGACCCGATTCTTGCTGCTGCGGTCGTCGGTGGCAAGTGGGCGGACAAGCATGTGCCGACACATATACGGCATCTCTTGGCGGCGGAAAGCGGGTGCAATGATGGTGCTGCGTTCCCGTTCTTGTACTTGGCGTTGTACCTCATCCTTGATAACTCGACCAGTACCGCCGTTGGCGACTGGTTCCTCAAATTGTGGCTCTGTACGTTTCTCGATCGCCGGTCATGGAGTCCCAGCTTACGTTCTGACAGACCAGATCATTCTGGGAGTCGTGATTGGTTCCTTCATCGGGATCGGATTCCGACATCTCATGAAGTTTTCTGAACGCGTTTCTCTTATTGACCGACATTCCTACGTCGCGCAATACGTATCGCTCGCGCTACTCACGATCGGCACAACGACCCTGCTCGGTTCAGACGATCTGCTCAGTGCCTTCGCATGCGGAACGGCCTTTGCCTGGGACGGTTTCTTCAACAGGCAGACGGAGGAGTCCGTCTTCTCCTCTGTGATCGATCTGCTGTTCAACTGTGCTGCTTTCATCTACGTGGGGGCCTGGATGCCTTTCTCCTCCTTCAGCGATCCCTCGGGCACCACGCTGCAAGTCTGGCGGCTGGTCGTCATCGCCATCTGCGTCATGGTTCTGCGTCGGCTGCCTATCATGGTGGCGATGTACCGATGGATCCCGGATATCAAAACGTCGCGCGAGGCTATCTTCAGTGGTCATTTCGGGCCGATTGGAGTGGGGGCAGTCTTCATCTCGACACTTGCTACGGAGGTGCTGGAAGCGAGTCCGCAGGTGCACACCGACAGACAGGTGGAGCTGCTCGCGAAGACAATCCAGCCAATCTGTGCATTCATGGTGCTTGTCAGCATCGCTGTGCATGGCTTGTCGATCCCTGGCTTCTCGCTCGGCAAGCGCGTCCACTCTGTTTCGCGAACCTGGTCGAGGCATACGACGACGACGGCAGCGCAGCGGCCGGATTGGATGGACCATGTGAGACACGCGGAGCAAGGAGAAGTCATCGTCAACCGTGACGGAGAGCGGCGTGTGGGTGATCTGGAAATGGGCTTGGAGAGAGAGAAGGGAGAGGGAGAAACGCTGGATGGCAGGCCGTTGGAGGACATTGATATCATCACTAGCGAGAGCCCGACAGCTGTGGGCACCCGGCAAGGGTCTCAGGAAGAGAAGCCGGTGGAAAACGGGGCCGAAAGCCCACCTGATGGAGAAGCAACGGTATACGAGTGGCAGCAAGGACCGCATAAAGTCATAGAAAGGAGAGCAGGGCCGGGCGAGGAGGTGCGTTTCATGCTTTCATTTCCTTCGCTCGTCCTCACTCGGGATTATAGGTTGAGGTTGAAGTCATCAGAAACGTGAATGGGCAAGATGTATCCTCGGCGTATAAAGGAACAGAGGAGGTTGTACGTGGGTTGGTGCACAAGATCAAGACCGTGCCCAAGGCTTTGGAGGAGGATTTCGATGACTTGGTCAAAGCTGCCGAGGAGAGGATGTCCCTTTCACCACGCTCTCGACATCTGCTGCATGAGCCCACGGTCTCCTTCGAGCAAGGTGATGACGAAGACGAGGGTTGGGCTTCAGAGCACGACGAGAGGGGAACGAGCCCATCGTCTGAGCGAGGGGACAAGCGCAAGCGGAGCGGGCGATCTTCGAAGATACGACCGATTCCGCGACGACGCGGGTCTGCGACTGCGAATGCAGCAACCAGGAAGGGTATCGTCGGGCGAGCGCAGCAGTTTGTACGAGAGCATCGGCAAGGGCAGCATCATCAGGAGTTGCAAGAGGACAGCGCGTCGCCTCCTGTCGCTGGACCGTCCAACGTTCGACCGGAGAATCAATCCGCGCCATCTGAATCCGAACTCGCAGCCCTTGCCTCGCGTGTGTCTTCGCGAGACTTTGCGTATGGGGGCAGGATGGGTCGACGGTCGAGGCTCGATAGCCTGAGATTGCAGAGCGGGCGGCCGTCACGGGATGCATCGCCGGCGAGATCGGTCAGATTTGCGGAGGACGGAGATCGAACCCCACGGCATGCCAGTGGGACCAGTACGCCTCTTGTTTCTGCGTTCTCTGCGGCGGAGGATGGTTTGGTCCGTGAGGAAGGGACTAAGGAGGAAGGGACCAAGGACTGATCTGTTGAAATCTCATTTAGCAGTCTGACGCACATGATCTATGCACGACGACCGACAATATGCTTGCTACTTAGAAGTTTACTAGCATCACTGTACACTACAATGCATCTCTCGCTGAATGTTCCGACGGATGTCGAGTTCGGAGGAGAGGTGGGCAGTGGTCGAGACTACATTCATCACTGATCACTTTCATCCTGACAAGAAACCCCTGCGCCCAACTTGACCGCTTCCTGCTCAAGCCGGTTCCGGAATCGAATCAAGCTTGCATGTTCTGTGTCCCGACAAAGGACGCGAAAGACGACACGAGGTCCCGGGCTCTTTCCCTGTTGCATTTTGTCTACGAATTCCTTGAGTAGCGGCGAGGAGCACTCAGCGCATTGACAAATCTGGAATGAGGGTAGGATGTCAACGTCAAGCACAACCTCGTCCAGCTCAGGAGAACGGGAGAGGAGGGAAGGCGGAAGATCGAGAACAGGACGGAAGAGTCGATATGTCGATGTTGGCGCGTGGAAGTAGATTCCGTGGCCGATCCTGAATCGCCGTAGAGAGCTTAGAGTCTGTAATTTGAGAAGGCAGATATTCTCTGGAAACCATATGTCGGGATTCAGATGATGGGAGCGAGAAAACTATGCTCCTACCTTCCAATGACGAGCATGGGTGCACGTCCAGATGCAAGTCCTGCAGCACACCGTTCAAGCCTGCTAAAAATGCAGCGAAGATCGGCATGACATGCGGCGTCACTATGTTTGGGATGTGGAGCGAGAGTCGTCTGGTGCGGGGAGCCTTCTCCTGGCCAGCCTTGAGCCAGAGAAGGACGCCAGCCTTGGATTCGAACCCCCGGATGGACAGATGCTCCAGTGGCTCCCTGAGTGTGACCTCTGGATAGGCGCCTTGCAGGGCGTCTCCCCACGTTACGCCGTCAAGCTCCAGATCGGACAATTTCGGAAGCAGGGCGATCAGCTGAGCAAAGTGAGAAGCAGCGGCGAACTTTGTGCGCTGCAGGGAGAGCTTCTGCAGCCGTGGGAGGCACGGCATATCGTTGCTGCGTGGTGGCACGGGCCCCAGAGTCAGCTCGGTCAGCCGGTGGAGCGAAGGAAGGGAGCACAGGAACGCCGCGTTCAGATGATGGGATCCAGAGGCCCAGTTTCGCAGATTCAGCGCCTGAGTGTGGATTTTGAGGACAGAGAGCAGAAGACAGAGATGTTCCTCGTTCATGCGCACGGTGAACGATTTGAAGAGATGTCTTTGGCTGGTTGGGACCCATCGTCGACATACGAGGGCACAGCTGCGGAGGTCGGGTCTACTCTGCCAAAGGAAGTCGAGGATGTGGTCGGTGAGTTCTGGGGGAAGCGAAGTTTGCGCGTGAGGTGGGAGAGGTGGAGGGGCCAACGGAAGGGATCCCATGGAGAGGACGTGTGGGCAATCCACAGATTGCTAGGATGCTATTTCAAGCGGCGCCAACCGGATCCACGCCTATACTCTGGTGCATTTGAGTTTCCCAGATCTCCGCAGTAGTAGTGATGTAATGCGCTTACCTGGCTGCCTTGAGCGATGACCGACCAACCGAGATGCCTCTCACTTTCCACCCGGTATCGTATCAAGCCCATCTATACATCGTTGCGCTTGTTGAGCGGCCGGGCTCAAGTCATCGGCATGACGCACATCCGCCACATGACCATTGGGAAGTCATGGGATGCACTCGCTGAACACATGAGTACCACCCATCCCCAAAGATGACGATCTGGTGCTGACTTCACGCTCTGCGCCAATCAACAGTTTGCAATTCTGAGACGCGCGGAGTCGGATAACAGGCAACTGCACGTGACCGCGCTTGACGGCATCAACGCACTTGATGTGACAGACTCACTCTCGTGCAAGTGCGCAATCTTCACAAGCAATTAATCTTCACCTTGACACCGTGCCTGAGCATTTGAACTCCTGAATCACAATGTCCTCGCTGCAAATCTCTTTGTTTTCACTCTTTTCTCTTCCAGGATATGCACCTTCTCTGGTTCTGGCTGTCGCTCCTTCCTCTGCTCACGGCAGTTAATGGATTAGGGTTCAAGCCCCCGCACACGCGCTCAAATGCAGAGCGCATCGCAGCGGGAGAGCAACTTGCCAAACCGCGCAGGATGTATGGCCTAGGCGGGGAGAAAAGCTTTCGTGCGTTCCTGCCTGGTTTCTTGCATTGGAGTCCAAATTTATGCGCCTCTGCTCAGCCGTACCGCGCGCCGCACCGTCTGGTCTCGCTTTTCCCATCTCAAGGCCGGCAACGACACAGACCGGCTATTTAGGGCTTTTCGACGCCACAGGTACTTTCCTCGGGTACTTTTCGCTCCCGGCTGCGGAGATCACCTCGTCTCTCCCTCCCATCCAGCCGCAGCCGCAGCCGGGAAGGCGGTCGACGTATGCGGGCGAGTACTCTTTCGTCACGCCGGCCCATCCCGGGGACCCGGTGGGCATTTATCTTGCGGTACATCGTTTCTTTCGGACCATGGCGGTGATTCACCTAAAGATACATGGACTAGGATGACCCCGGTTATTTTTTGAACGGGATCGGAATGAGCAACGGATTGACTCTTGGATCGGGCCTGGGGACATGGGTTACTGTGGTTGTTTCTGGCGTCGTTAGTGAGTCGCAAGTGCTGTCTTTTTGACACAGGCTGAGAGTCCCGAAAGCTTCGTCGGGCGCACCTCCCTACCTCAATCTCTACGAGACTTATATCGTGCGTCCTGCTATCCACTCGATTTTCATGGTCTGAGTGTGCACTGGGACAGTTTACTGTTGATGAGACAACTGGTCAGATTGGAGTGCAATGGGTCAATCCTGGAAGCACGGGAGGTGAAGTAACTCGTCTAGTCCGATCCAATCCCCAGTAACAACTAATCCAGTCTACACTCCGGCATCTTTCATGTGGTCCCCGTCCCGAAACATCCTCACATTCACCGGTGACACGACCGCTGCTCGGGCTGGCTACCAGACCACTTCCGGCACGTTTGATTCGAGTGCGGGGCTGGGTGCAGATGCCGTCGAAGTGGTATGTCCAACCTCTGAATTCTATGTCTCTGTTGATAACGTCTACAGTCTCTCTATTTCGGGACTCAGCAGGATTGGACGTCATACTTTTAGAGGACTGCGATGTATGATGGTCTTGCAATCGAATACCCGCTGCGTGAGTAGCCGCTGCAGAAGATCGTTTCCCGGACGTCTGACAACTCCAAGTTGTGGAACCCTTGAGACGAGCGAGTACACGGAAACGTCACTTGCGACACGGCAGGAACGTTGCGCGCAATTTGATATGCAGATGTGCCTTAGCTGTTAATCACACGACACTGCCACAATCCTCTTCCACGCAAGCCCCGTCACTGAACGATAACAAAGGATCTCTTCTTTGAACAACTTGCCCTGTACGCCAATGCATCCCTCAGCCAGCTGAGGTCCCATTTTGGGCTTTCTAATGCGACGTACTCCATCCTTCACGGCAGTTGCCACCTTTCAAATACCCAAGTCACCCAGATTCAAGCGAGGGTGGACATGGCAGAAACGGAGAGAACGAAGCTCATGCACAAGATCAATGAGATCAAGGCAGATCTGATGTTTCTCGAGAAGGACGAGCGACGGATCTCAAAGCACCTCACTCTTTGCCGCGCGACGCTTGCCCCGATCCGGTGCCTTCCCGAAGAGGCGCTGTCCCTAATCTTCGCAGCCTATGCGCCCCACGATGCAAGGGACGCCAGTGGGCTGGATATGGAAAAGGGCAGATGGGCTATAGCAAAACCCAGCAGCTACTGGCGCAAGGTGGGCCATTGCCACCCCTGCCTTGTGGACGACCATCTCGTACACATATAAAGATGACGTCCCACTGCCGCCCAAGAACAAACACAATGCAATGGCCTTGTTGGAGCTCTGTATTGAGCGGAGCGGCAGGCAGGGCCTATCCATCGAGCTGCAGTGCGGCAACAGTCAGCTGCACGAATGCGACACCGTACTGCTGTTGATGGGCAATCACCGTGCGCGTTGGGAGACAGTGCATATCGACATGCCGATGGCCATGTTTAACGAGCCTCTTTTCGCGGAACCTCTTGCGCTCCCGCTTCTGTGGAGGTTGCGACTGAATGTCCATCCCACCCGCCGCCCGCCGCCAGCCTTGTCGGGGAACGCCACTTTCTCCGTCGCACCGCTCTTGACCGACTTGGAGCTGACGTACGGGGTCGATGGGAATTTCCTGTTTTTGCTACCCTGGGCGCAAATCACCACTTACCACGGCCCTCTCTATCCTGGCGGGGGTTTCGACGCATTGTCTGTTGCGAGACGTGCCGAATCAATCCTCGATCAAGACGCAGATTCCATCTGGTCTATCTCTCAGGCCAACGGTGATACTTTCACGACCCACACTCACCTTCGCGTGCTTGTGCTAAGTTCACAGATCTTTCCCGCTCGAATGAGCTTTCCTTCGTTGAGACAGCTTGATATACGCGCGGGAACTCTGGGGGCTGAGACAAGGGCGCTCCTCGTGATGATCGAGAAGTCGGGGCCGCGCCAACTGGAGACGCTTGTGGCTCGTGGGCTCGTGCTTTCAGGCAAAGATATAGTTTATGATCGACTGACTGCGCTGCTCAAGCTTGTGCCCTGGCTCATGCATCTCTGCCTCGATCGTGCGGCTGACAGTTCAGGGAGTGATGCGCTGTTCGACGACTTGCTTGATTATAATGACATCGACCGAGCACTACTTCCATCTTTTGTAACGCTGATGCTGAATGGATTCTCCCTCGGTCATGGCTTCATCCGATTCCTCGAAGACCGCCGGGAGGGGGTTATCACCACGCTGGAATGTTTGGAACTCAAGCGCGTTCACGAGAAGACCACGGATGTGCTGCAGAAGATCCGGAAGATTGCAATGCAGGGGGGAGACAAAGGTCGTAACCAGACGTAGGGGGGAGACAAAGCTCTACGTCTGGTTACGACCGAGTTAGAACAGACTCGGTGAGTCTTCTTACCTTTGCCTCAAGATGCCGGTTTTGACTCCTGAATCAGGCTTCTCCATCCAGTGGATATACCCGCAGCAAAGGGCGTCACAAATAGCTTGCAGAACGCAGGTGGAAGTGAGCACGGCCTGCCATCTTATCTAGTTGATAAATATGCATTTTCTCTCACACGACCGTACCGACACTAAATCGAATTAGCCGTTTCTGCCTGGTATCCATGACGTCTTTCAGCCTCAGTAATTATGCCTCGAAATCCCATCCCTGCGCGATGCAGACTTTCACCTTCATACACCGCCGCATCTCGATTCTCCGCTGTTTCAGCACGGCAGCGAGTCTTCGTCGCGCAGGCTGTGACTTCTTCGGCTGGTGCGACGGGGCCAAAGGATTGGACGTAAACACTGCCATCGAATACGAGCGAAGCGACTCGAATCAGGACAACCAGTCCTGCGATGAGGCGTCAACTTTTTGCGACCAGGGGCCGCGCCATTGCACTAGGATATCCGGGGGGTGGATGCGATAGTCTACCGAGCACGGATTGAATACCAATCGCAGGAGAACACGATTCAATGCGACGGAAACACCTTGTACTCGACGTTTCTCTCGTAATCACAGGTGACAGAAGTCTCGTAGAAAATGCCCTCTTGATGCAGAACATCCTGGAATCGGACGAGTGCTGTCGCGGAGGCGGCATCCCGCGTGAGAATTTGGAAGCGAACGCTCGGAATAGTGCGTGTTTGCAGGACCAGATCCCTGAGCCGGAATTCATTGCCGTCTTGTGGTGAAAGTGTATAGTTCACCGTGGGCATCAAGTCCACATCGAAGACGATTTCTTCAAGACATATCAAGCTGGAGAGCATCGAATGCAGACCTAGGACGGGTCGCAAGAGGCGATAGTGAGACGTGATCCAGTAGAAGTAAATCCCGTGGCCGATCCGAAAACGCCGCAGGCTGGCCAAAGTGTCGAGCCCCAAGAGTCGGAGATTATCTGTGCGAAGACGTCAATGAAACTATAAATGAGACCGGACCCAGTAACGCCGGAAAAAGAGGGATACCTTCCAGCGACGGGCACGGGTAAACATCCAAGTGCAGATCCTGCAGAATCCCGTTCAGACCCGTAATAAACTTGGCGAAGACGGGCATCATCGCCGGCCGTGTAGCGGATGGGACATGAAGGGAAAGGCCCTGTGTCTGTGGCGCATCCGCCCCCGCCCTGAGCCAGGTAAGTACATCGGGGTTTGTCTGGAACCCACGAACAGACAGATGCTCCAGAGGCGCCTCGAATGCGGCAAGAGGATATCTGCCGTCCGATGCGTCTCCCCACGTCACCGAAGCAAGCTTCAGCTCGGACACGTCCGGGAGCCGGGAGATCAGTCGCGCAAATTGGGCGGCGGACACGAATTTCGTGTGCTGTAGAGAAAGACATCGCACATGGGGAAGGATTGGAAGGTCGTCGTGGTCCGGAGGAAAGGATCCCAGGACAAGCACAGTGAGACCGCGCAGGAGAGAGAGCGACGGGAGGAAGGTTGATGCTGTCGGGTGGGAGTTGGACGGCCACAGTCGGAAGTCAAGTACCCGAGTGTGATCTCGAAGAACCGAATGTAGCAGGCTCGAGAAGGCCCCGCTCGTCTTAACAATGAAGCATTCAAACAAATGCTTACGACTGGTCGCCACCCACTGTCTGCAGACCAGCGAGCATTGAAACAGGTCGGGTTTGCTCTGCCATAGAAAGTCGACGATTCGATCTGTCAGTTCCGGAGGCAGCACAAGCCCGCCCTCAGGACGCATGTGGGACAAGGAACGTCCACAAGTTTCGAGATGTCCTTCGACTTCTTTGAAACGCCGGATGAAGGCCACTGACCAGGCAGATCCGCAGGGACGTGGTGAGAGAGAGCAAGAGAAGAGAACTTGTGTCCTACCTACCGGTGGCGGCGCAGTTATAGCCAGCAGTTCGCCGTCGTGAACCGAAGACTGAGTTGGAGCATGAGCCTATATGATCTTAACACTGGCAAAATGTGCGCTAGCGCAGGGCTCTTCGGTAGCCATGTACGTAGCTGGTGGATAGATGTGAAGGAGTGCAGTGAGAAAGCAGTCAGTCACTTGAGAGTTGATGTCGACTGCGGCCGAACAAAGTACTGTAGACGGATTGATCAATTATATTTGTCCTGTCCTGTCTCTTGCTCTCAATGCATCTCTGATGAACTCTCTCTGTCATGCAAGAAATCAGCTCACTCCCAAACGTCATTCCCAACAGGCACAGCAAATGCCGTAGATATCTTAGCTGCTGTACCGGCACCTCGGCACAGGGCGCCGGTGCGCAGGAAATGACTAATCGTGTGATTGCTCTGATCATCTTCAGGTGATGATCTTGATGAATTCTATACGCCTCTTCTCTTCCTTCTTCTTCATTTGCCAGAGCGTGGCTGTTCCTGTGACCTTCATCCACCATCTCCTTTCAAGAAAGTACCGCCCAGGGTTGGGGACATCAACAAGCGTCTCCAGCGCTAAACTTTGGCGTCCAAGTGATGCAATCGTTCCAGAACGTCCGTCCATCCGAGAAGGGCTTGGTCTTTTCGCGTCCTCAAGCCACAGACCAGTCCGATGCTGTTCGCCCGATTCGGACTAGAATCTTATCTTCGTCATTGGTCTAAGGATATCTCCGTCAACGATGTCTGCCCGGCTTTTGCGGAACATTTTCTCTGCACACGCGCGCAAAATTGTATAAAGACCCGCACGAACCATCCATCCGACAGCGACTGCACCTTACCCTCACTCGACACACTCCTACTACTCATCTACCATCCATGTGCACCTCCTCAGCCTCCGGCGTCTGCAAGTCAGCCACTTTCTCGCGAGGGTCGAAGTCAGTGACGACAACCACCAACCTTCCCGTTGCGGGAATGGGCAGCAACGGTCCGCAGTGCGCCCATTGTGGCTGGCGCGGTGGAGGACACGCGTGCGTCATACTCTTTGTTTGGACGCTGCCGGCCGCTGACGCTCCGTGTAGCCCGAACTGCCCTTTCAGTATGTCCATTTCTGTCGCTGGGACAGCGTCTCTGATGCCACTGTAGGATAAGCAACCCAACACAAACGACAGTCGCTGTCTCGCGGCTTCCGAGGTGCGCTAAAACCTTCTCACGCAACGCGCCATTTTCACGGACTGGGGCGGCCAGATTCAGTCAGTCCGAATGTACCATACTCATACGCTCTCCTCTCTGTAATTGCCGAACGTTTCTGTCTCGCACTGTACACGACCCACGTTTTTGAATATGAAACTCTTTGCATCAGTTTTTGTTGTGCTTTCTACGGTGTAGGAATCCAAGTCTATCTTCGTCTCGTGCCGCGCCAGCACAGCTGGACCTGATTTGCGCCCGCAATGTGGCATGCTTTCTCGCGTTGCGTGTCAGCGTTTGGCATTTGGAAGTGCCAAGTGCTGACCGTGCCAAACGTATGTATCGAGAGTTCTATTCACGGATGCAGCCCGCAATCTGATACATGGGAAATCAAGATTCTGCATCACAGCTCCACTTGCCCAGACGCGGCTGCAGGATGAGTTGCCGATCCGGGAAACAGGCAGCCACGTCCGCGTTTATTTTAATCAGCCGAATCGAAACATCTGAAGACTGATAGGTACGGTTGGATTCGTTCGCCCTCGAGTTTCAGACAGCTCAGGGTCCTCCCATTTGTGCGAAGCGTCACGGAGACATGTCCGGAATCTCCGACCGTGCTGTCAGCCAAGGTGAACACGGCTGCTTCCCGAGTTACTCCCATCATCCCATCTTCAAGAGATAGTTGCCGTCCCTGCCCTATGACCTCTTTTTTGTGCGCACGCAACAAATTACAGCCGTCCAGCTGTCAATCCGTTTTCGGGAACTTGCCTACTTTGAATGCGGTTTGATTTCTGATTGGCAGCTCACAGCTTCTGTTGAATTGCGGAGTTGTAGGTCCAGTCAAATGTCGGAATGCCAGAATGTTGCGGCACCGACACAATACTATCTTAGTGCGCAAAATGAGTTTTACGGGTGTTAGTTCGGGCTTCGGCTAGGATATCAGCAAATTCGAATGATGACGCAAGTTTGGTTTACGTGACTTATTTACTCGCTTAGTTGGATCTCCCCTGTTTTCCCTGGTCCAGTATCGACATTCGAAATTGTGGCTGATGAATTCAGGATCGAATGAGAATCCTGTTTCTCAAATTGAATGAATGTCAGTGCGAGACGATGCGCCCTGTTACAAGATGCTGAATCTTCGCTTCCCTCTGTTTTACAACATGCAGCGTTGTCGTTCGGGTCCTGCCGATCGAATTGATCCGTTCTGAAACGTACCCCGGTGTCCTTTTTGGTGGAGGTCCAGATTCTCTCTTGCTCTTGTCGCGCGCAGATTCCATCGAACAGTAGGAACACTAGTGAGTCCGCCCGAAACTTCAAGGTAATCAACGCTGAGAAGGCGTTCGAGAGTCTTGGCTCTGGCTCTGGCTCTGGCTCGGGCGCCGTTCACGGCATGCAATAGCTTACTACTACTGCTAGGAGCACGGGCTGCCTGCCCAGCTGCGAGCTTTCTCCCGAATGTTCGCCGACTATCCGGTTTCACACTCGCTGTCCACTGGACATCTTAACTGTCCAATCACACTCATGAATCAAAACCCATGTCCAGCTCATGCCCAGCTCCCGAACAGAACAGCTGCTCTTTAGGCCGCAAGGCTTGCACTGGCCGACTTCTCAATCTGTGATCTGGAAAGCACTACTGCAGCCGCGCGGCATCCTCAAACTCGCCGATGTCTATCAGACCTCGTTTCTCAATCCGTTTGTGTGATATTCGAACAATCGTGGATGTAGGGTGGGCTTGGCCTGCCTCCTGTCTTCCCGCGACCAATGAATAGCACTTGGGCCTGTCTATCGGAGTGGGCCTAGTATTTGAGACCGCTCTGGGACCGCTCATGGCCCACGCTGCACCGCGAACTACGGACCGGATCCAGATCTCCCGCAGTCAGTACAGCGGTGCTGTCGTGCTATCACTCCATCAGCGCACTGCGACCGCGGTGTCTGTTGCACGCGCACACGGACGGTGATGGGTCCTGCGCCATGACTAATGCTGTTCGATTCTTTTGCATCAGCTGGATCTGCTGGCGCGTGTCGGCGAACCTCAGACGCCCGGTCATTCGAACATAATATTGCGCGACGGAGAGCGACACGAATCGCGAATCGCTAGATGGTATCTCGCAGCCATGGAATCAGATTCCGCTCTGACCAGTGAGTCGGAGAGACGGTCACCAAGGAAATATACTAGACCCTGTGGTTTGGGACTCGAGAGATTCAGTGATTCGATCGAACTCGCGATTGAACGCATGGGCCGGTCCCAAGTATCAAGCAAATAGGATCGAGAACAAAGTCTTGGGTCTTACTAATTCAATCTGACGCGCAAGTATGAAGAATTACTTGTCGTGAAGTCGGTAAAAACACTGTATCGTTTGTGTCATAAACAGGAGTGTCAGACAACGGTTTGAGCGAAGCAATCCTTGCTTAGCTCCCAACAGATCTATCACCTATGCTTAGATGCCGGCGGTAAGATCTAGTGGAATCTAAACTCGTTTGGATTGGTATACTGTATGTTTAAAATTATCTCTTGCGCGATCAGGCAGGGTTTTTTTTGTCGACTCCAAAATTAAGTCATGATTCAATCTGTCCGCTGTGATTACAAGTATGACCTAGATGATGTAGATCATGGTCTGTGATGCTACTTTACAGTTAACATCACGTGACAGACGTGGAACCACCGGCCCGCTGGCCCGCCCGGCATGTCTTCTCTCTCTGTCACAACGCACCCTGTGTCTTGTCGCACAGATCGAACTCATCGGGAAAGATATGATTGAAAAATCATGATCTCGCTCGAGATCCTGACTGTAAATGGCTTCTGGTACAAAGAGAATTGAAGTTTTTAAATTGATTCCTCAGCGAGGGAGGAGTGATCTTCCTGACCTGAGCTTTAAGTATTTTCGACACCGCAAGAACGTCGGCGCCACTCAAAATGATGGATGAGGTACATTGGCCACGGGATGATCGTTCCAGGTCATGTGACTTAGCCAAATTGAACCACCTGCCAAGATATCCGCGAGAAACCGCGAGAAACTTCTCACTACACCTCACATGTCCCAGATTTAACGGTGCCGGAGATAGAGCCAGCAATTTCCGGTTGTTCTGAATAACAAATCAGACGATTGAATCTGTTACATTGCCTGAGAGCTCGTGCTCCGCTCGTGGTTGTGTTTAAGGGCGTCTGACAACAGGCAAACACTCTGGATTAAGCCTGTCGAGATTGTACCTACATCATTATTCCGCTAAGAAGGCCGGTACCTTCTGCTTCTGGATTACAGGTCGCATGGAATCACGATCGCTGCATCTTTCAGCTAATCCAGACATTTGCTGGGATGTACTGCACATCATGTCCATCCGCCCTACCACTTTCGAATGAGTAGGCATTTGATCTTCCTCGCAGTATCATTTTCTCGCAATCCTCTGTGATGTCTCGGCTTTAACATTCTTAGCATCGTCTCTTCAACTTGTCTCGTCACGAGTCGCTAACTCCCGAAACGGCTTGATCGCTCCGCTCTCCTATTTCCCGGTGCTGCGTCTTTAGCTATATGTCTTTTATACCTTCCCCATCGCACGGCCCCGGATGTGTTTCCGTGCTTCTGGCAAGGACTGCCGGAAAATCACACCATGATTTCATATCGCGAAACACAGTGCTTCTGCCAGATAGAGGCTCAGCGGAACACGTGACATTGCGCGGGCCGGTGGGTTTCATACCGCCACTCACGACTTCCAATTTGGCTGAAACAGAGCTGACGGTAATACCAGTTTGCTCACATGACGTCCATTGAGCATCGCGAAGATGTATTTTAGTATTGAATCTTCTATCGATATCCTGTGGAGTGAGACTGGCAGTTTATAAACACGATGTCTCTTTCAGAAGGGACACTGCCTACGATGCTGGTACAATCTCTCATTTCCACCGCCCTCCTCCTCGCAACATTTCCCACTCAGACCCAAGCCGTAATCGAGTGCAATGTGCTCGACTACGGCGCGGTCGCGGACAACGTCACCGACATCGGCCCCGCACTGACCGCCGCATGGCAAAACTGCGTCATCCCGAGCGTGAACAGCACTGTCGCCACGGACGTCCAGCTGCTCGTGCCCAGCGGAGATTTCCGGCTGACGACCATGGTTCTGTTCAACCACGCGACCCACTGGAATTTCCACCTCGTCGGCAACTTGTATTTGCCGTTCAATACGACTCTGGGTGGGATCGGTGGGACGATGCTCCAGTGGCAGGTGCGCACGCACGCCGTAGATCGACGGGAACGCGGTTCAACCTCGGACGGCTTTAGAACTGCGACAACATTCTGTTCGACGGCCCGGGTGCGATTTTCGGGAACGGGTACCGGTACCGAGAAAACAATGATGTAGGTTTCTCATTCTTGATTCGAGGCAGCTCTGATCGGGGTCGACGGCAGCTGAGTCTCTTTCCCAACCGCCCTCGATTGGTCCGGTTCCAAACTTGCAACAAGTGCGTCCCGAATAGACGACGCGATTCTTGTGCGCTGATGTGCTAACCAACCGCGGAAACCAGCATTGAGATCACTGAGATCACCTTGTATGACGCGCCGATGTTCCATGTCACCATCATCGGAAACAAGTAGGCTCACGCTTGTGATCCGCTCTTGGACAGACCCCTGATCATCCGCGGCCAGCAACTTGGCACATGACATGACGATCAGAGCCACTCATGTTGGTCAGTCCGCTATCGTCAAGTGGCAATGCGGTTTTTTTTTATTGAACGCGCGTGGCAGGTGAAACGGATGGGTTCGACATGAGCGGAAACAACAAGTGCGAGAATATTTTCCGTCGCCGAATCTTGCTCAACCGGCCTCTGTTCAGCTATGTGCATGACGTGATTGTCGAGAATGGCGACGAGGTATGCGGAAGAGACCAGCTCAGACGGCGTGTTGTTTGAATTGACGACTTCCAGTGTGTGACTGTCAAAACACCTACAAATGTGAGTTGCTCCCTGCCTTCTCATCCATGCGCGCCCCTCTTCATTTCTCACAACAGGGATTCCGCGCGGAGAACCTGATATGCATCCACACCGCTGGATGCAACATCGGCTCGTTCGGGGCGGGAAACACGAACGTCTCTGTGCAGAATGTCTGGTACCGGAATGTGACGTTGAACGAAACTTCGGACGCGGGGATCATGATTAAATCGTATCCCGACAACATCGGCTTCGTCCGGAACATCACTTACCATGATTTCACACTCGTACGCGGCTGCTGCCACTCGTCCATTGGATCCTTTGCTGATATTGCGTTACAAAGATCGGGCCTGCATATCCCCTGTGTAAGCTCACCTGTGAATACGGAGTTAACAAAAGAACTGAGCTACTTCTCTCTAGACATCAGCGTGTTCTGGGAGGGCAGCGGAATTGATACAGGAAAACTTGAAATTTACGACGTGCATTTCGACGGGATATCGGTATTGAATCAATCTGGAATCGGCTCTCTAGTCTCTGACAAATCTGTCGAATTTATTAGGGCTATGGCACGACCACGCGACCCGGGGTCCTCCTCGACTGCAATGCGGCCACTCCATGCAAGAATATTACTGTAAGTCTGACATGCTCTGCACCTGCGTTCGTTTGATCCACTCATTCCCTGATTTCCAGTTTGAAAGTGTTTACATCTGGGGAGGGGTAGCAAACCGATACACCAATGCATGCGGGTCCGGATTCTTCGGTGTACCACCCTGTTGATAGTCCAGTAACAAGTCACCTGTGGATCTCAAAGAAACCTCGCAGTTAAATTGCATAATAGGATAGATTTTAACCATGGGGGCTGTTTGGAACTCTTGATCTGCTGCTGTAATTCCTAGACAAGGCTTACAACATCTGATTTCCTTTGGCATGTTTCCAAAATGAGAGCAAAATTGTGGATATAACATTTTAAAAACAACTTGTACAAAGACATTCATTTTGTCTTGAATCTGTAGGTCAGACTTTAAGGTGCTTCTGTCATAGTTTGATCACTTTTTCATCATTTCATTGATCATCCTATCTTATCTCAACATAAGGTTATCTTATCATGGGTCACAGCATCACACGGTCTGGGTTAGTGGTTCAGAGGGGTTATCTCTATCAATTTGAGGCTGCACAACATATGCTTTGGAAGTTTCTACTACAACCCATGACCAGTGTGTTGAGCACTGGGGAGAGCATCTAGCAACCCACCTGTGTGAGTGAGAGCTTAGTGTGGGCACTATGTGGGAGTAGTCAAGAGACTTGTATTAAAGGGTAATAGAGCCCTCCTTTTATATGATACAGGATGTAGTCATATGATATGTCCCATGATGCCATCTATCAGATTTGATGTGGCTGTGGTAAGTCCTCAGTATCTTCAAGGTTGACTCCTTGACAGCCACAGCCACAACGCTGTGCCAACACTCCCCCACGCTAAAAACCACGTGATAGTGTTTGCAAGTGAAACCTTCATTGGCCAATTCTTCAGGACGAGTTTTTGAACTCCAGTCCTAGTTGGGACCTGAACTTCTTGAACTTGATGCGTCCTAAGTTCTTGGTAAACAGATCTGCAGGATTCTCACTGCCCGGAATAAAGAACAGTTCAACCTCTTCTTCCTCAACTCACTCACGGATGTAGTGATAGCGGATGTCTATATGTTTCATCCTGCGGTCTCGGTAGGCATTGCTGCCACTGAAGAGTGCACCCTGATTGTCACCGCAAATGGGTACTGGGATGGTGAGTTTGAACTGGAGTTCCGAAAGGACGCTCTTCAGCCACATCACCTGGCCACTACAATCTGAAATCACCATGTACTCTGCTTCAGTCGAAGACTGCGCAACAGTGCGCTGAAGTCTAGACTGCCAGCAAATGATCCCATCTGCCAATTTCGTGAAGAACCCAGTGGTAGATCTCCTCTTGATTGGATCAGCAGCCCAGTCTGAATTGCTAAATGCAATTAGCCCTCTATCCGTTGCACCATTGAAAATGAGTGAATAATTTCTAGTACCAGCCAAATAGCGGCAGATATACAGTGCTTTATGGAGGTGGTCTTGGGACGGATTGGCAGCAAATTGTGACAATTTGGTCACAGCAAATGCAATATCAGGACATGTGCCTAGCATGATGAAGAGAAGAGATCCAATAACTGATTGGAATTTCTTCCTGAGCTCTGGATCGACTTCATCCTTGTTTGGCATTGGAATGTATCCAGCCGGTAGAGGGGTCACTGCAAACTTGGCGTTCTGCATCCCAAAACGCTCTAGCACCTTGTCAAGATAAGGAATCTGATCAATCTTGATCGAAGATCCTACTCTACTGAGGCGTACGCGCAAGAACTCTGGAGTATCTTCAGAATTGTGGCATTCCCATCGCTTGTTGAACTCAGCCTTGAGAAAGGCGAGGAGCTTCTTGTTCTTGGAGAAGAACAGTGCATCATCCACATAGACTATTATGACGGCTATGCTGCCATCAGAGTCCTTGTAGAAGAACATGCCAGCCATCCAATATCAGTCGGATCCAGCCCATGGCTTTTGTGGACTTGGTAAGCGCCTTCCACCATGCTAAAGCAGCTTCTTTGAGTCCATAGATTGCCTTGTGCAAGCGCATGACTTTGCGCTCTTGGCCTCTCGCCACAAAGCCTTCGGGTTGTTCCATGTAGACTTCTTTGTCAAGCTCTCCATAGAGAAAAGCTTTACTGACATTGAGTCCAGACCAATGCCAATCATTGAGCACTGCAAGCGCCATGACCAACCGGAACGTCTCATACCTGACAACAGGGGAGAATATTTCATCATAGTCAACACCTTCGACTTGACTGAAACCCTTGGCAACTGGGCGGGCACGTTTTTGGCCATCAGATTTTTGGTCAAAGACCCAGCGACATCTGATAACCTTCCGTCCTTTTGGACGGTCCACAAGGGAATAGACCTTGCGCTGATGAAGTGCCTCTAACTCGTTGTGGCAAGCATCAATCCAACCTTTCTGTTGTTCAGAAGGCAACCACTTGATATTGCGGAACGTCCAATCGCAAATTTTGGATGTATCAGGTAGGTTCTCATTAGGAACCGCTTTTGACAGCAGCACAGTGATGAGCTCTACTCCCCCTTCCCGGCATAGCTTTTCCATGTGTGCATCCTTGTCTAGATCATCAGAAGCACCCGTGTTTGAGGAATCTGGTTGTGAGCTAGGGCCAGGAACCCCTGCATCAGCACCGGTTGATGGTTGAGATTGGGAGCTACCCTTATCTTCACCAACATACTGCTTCCATCCTCTGCTGTTCTGGATGTCATGGACTATATCTGTAGGGGTACGCTTTTCCCCATAGACGTTTCCTGGACGTGTAGGCACATTCCGCTGGCGTGAAGACCTTCGAGGCTTGGGAGCTGGTGAAGCTTCCCAACTTGGTTGTGGAATTCTACTTCTACGAGTCCTCTGAGGTTCATCCCGACGCTCTGGCGGTGGGTCCTGATGATTATGACTGTTGTCACTATCATCATTTCCTTGTACGGGAGGTGGTGGAGCCAGATCAGATGGCATAGGAAATGGAAAAGGATCATCTCTATATAGCCAATCTTCTCCGTCTACCTGTGGTGGATCTTGTGGATTCACTGGGTCATCACATTCTGAAAATTCCTCTCCAATAGGAACGTGGGGTGGTCGATTGCTGTCAGGACAGCAAGGGAACAACTCCTCATTGAACAATGCCTTGGTGGCGACAAACATGGAATTGTTAGTGCGCATGAATAAAAATCCTTTCACACCATCAGGAATGCCCAAGTAGGTCATCAGCTCTGATTTGGGCAATAACTTGTTGGCGCGCTTCTTATCAGGGATAAAGACATATGCAGCACAACCAAAGACTTGGAGTTCAGAAACATCCGGTTTTTCCTTGTGAAGAGCTTCAAATGGAGTTTTCCATTTTAGATGCCTGATAGGTGTCATGTTGTAGATCTGTGTCGCATGCTTTATTGCAAATTCCCAATATGAATTAGGAAGACAGGCAGTGAAGCACATGGCTTCTGCCTTATCCATGATCGTACAATTGAAGCGCTCGGCATGCCCATTCTGCTGGTGAGCATATGGAGCACCCTTCTCCACTAGAATTCCTTGTTCTGCGAGAAATTCTTCCATTCCCATCCCCATGAATTCTCCCCCATTGTCAATATACCACTTTTTGATGGTGACATTGAACTGGTTTTTGACCATGGCAATAAAATTGTGCATAGCCTGCTTGGCATCAGATTTCTGCACAAGGCATACTGTCCAGCCATAGGAGAGTGCTTCGTCAAAGAAGCTCATGAAGTAACAGTACTTGTGATAAGACACCGTGGGAAATTGTTTGAGATCCAAGTGGATCAAATCAAGTGGATTCTCCGCTCATTTTTCGGAAGGCGGGAAGGCACGTTGGTGCATTTTCCCTTGTGCGCATCCTTTACACGGTCGGGTTTCCTCGGGAAATACTAGGTCTTCTGGAAAGCCCTTGGTATTTTTCTTTGCCTGATGTAAAACATCTTTTGACAGATGTGCAAATTGCTGGTGCATGATCTCATAATCCACCTTGTAAACAGTGGACATGGATCGCACTGTCTCAGCCATACTTGGCTTTGACATCAGGAAGTACAAGGCAATGTCCTTCCCTAGAGTTCTAAACTCCATGATTGAGAGTGGGGACTTCCCTCAATGTAAGCTGATCCGCGATTTGTCTCCACAAACATGAGATCCTCCTTTGAGTAAGGAGCCCAAAGACATGAGACGACCATGTAATCCTGGCGCTAGGTACACTGGATATATCTGAGAAGTCACCATAGTCTTTTCCCCATGCCTTGTGATGTAATGATCGATGAAGGCTGTTCCTCGACCAATAAGGGCAACACATGTGTTCTTATCAGCGGTCTGAGCAACAATAGGATCTGAGAGCTTCTCATATCCGACCAGGTCACTAATCTCCAATGTCACATGGAGAGATGCACCAGAATCAAGAAGCCATAGAGGCCCTAATTCATGATGATGATGATGTTTCCCCTTACACTTAGAGCAGGCAGCAAAATCGGAGTGCACACAGAATAGATTGGTACAAAAATCATGCGAACGTATCATCAATGAATTAAGTACAGAACCCGGTGATAGGCTGGCTACCAGACGCGCTCTGCACCAGCTCTGTAAGGGCGTATTTTTGCGCTTTTTACAGAGTTTACTCTTCAACCACTCGGTGTATCGTGTCGCGGTTAACAGTGTTGCGCTCAGTAGGACTTATGGGTCTACTGCCCAGTCGACGACTGTGGATAGTGTCGACGATAGCAAGGCAGTCAGGCCACTACTGTGGAACTGGTCTTATGAGTCTACACCAGGCTCAGGGCCATTAGTGACGAACGCTTGGACCGCGACCATTCCCCAAAAAGGGATATGTCGTTGCGTCAACTTCTCAAAAAGGGTCATTCTCTGCAGATGAGAACTTGGGCTGAAGGGCTGAGCAATGCGCGACGTTCTCAATAATAGAACTACTACTGGACAGGACTTGGCGTTACAAGACTTAAACCATCTTGTCGCGGCAACTCCCGGTTTTGAGTTGGACGTTTTCCTCAGATCATGCCACGACGACGACTTGTCACATGTCAGGATCCATTCGATCACGGGACATTGTGGACGCGTCGCGGCGACACTTCCAAGTGTCACGGCGAGTCGCGCCCATATTCAAACACACTAAAATCGATACGGCTAGATCCGTGAACCGAGCCATGTGGGAGGCGACTGGCGTGCCTAGAGCCATACGGCTTCTTGGGGCGCCCACGTTGGTCTCACATGCCAAGACATA